AAATATGTTCTTACACAGGACCAGACAGACACACACCTGATGCTTGAGGTGGCTGCCAGTGTGACAAAGAAGAAAAACTCCCGGCAGGGGGGGGGGGGGCTGTATCTGCAAAATCTGAATGACTGACTTGAACTTTAGTCATCTGGAAAAGTTAGAATAAGTCCATTGCCTAACTAAAGTTTATCTTGGGCTAGACTTAACCCCTTAAACCATTCTGAGATCAAGAAAATGTTGGGCCTACCATTCTGTGACCAACAGAAAAAACAAACAAACAAACAAAAAATAACCTTTGGAATGTTATTAACTTAGCAGATGGAAGTCATCAGACAGCACCTGAGGCCTATAAAGGACATTCTCCCACCATGCTGTAACCCATCTGAGATTTTCACCAGTGTATTTTTAAGTTGCTCTGTTGGAACATGGAACCTGATGTGATGATCTGATGAACTCCATGCTTCCCAAGCCTTGTTTACTCATTTGGGTCTTACTATGTCTTACTCCCATTGGGGTAAGAGCTGTGGGGTTTTTTGGATTTTTTGTTTGTTTTGGTTTGATTTGGTTTTGGGTTTTTGTTTTGTTTTGTTTTGGTCCATAACACTCTAAAAATAATCATAGGCTGTATATTATGGCAAATATAAAAACCAGTAACATACTTTTTTTACTATCATGCATTATGTTCTCTAGGTACCATTCCTGCATGCCATTGGCATATGAGTGAGGTGCCATGTTGTGACATTATGATGGCTTAAAATCTTAGGGGATCACAGTGCCATATATGGTCTGTCATAGACCAAAATGTCACAATGGGTCATATGGCTATTTGGTAGATATATCTACATATGCATTTGTTGTAACTCAGTGACCAAAAGTAGGAGGAAAAGGAATAACCGGAACCAAATTGTAAGCAATACTTGCTTTAAAAATCTTCCATAAATACTGTTTGTTCTTACAAAGAAAAAAATATCCTGAGAACAAGCTATTTAATACTAATAGAAATACCAACGTTACAAAGATAAAGGACCTGCTTTTTGGTCCCTTATCCAATAAAGGTTTTTAATGATTGTAAAATCACCTGAGTCTTGAGCCACATGGTTTGATAAGAATGGCCCCCATAGGCTCATATGTGGGTTAGTGGAATTGTTTAGGAAGGATTGGGAGGTGTGGCCTTGTTGGATGTCACTGGGGGTGGGCTTTGAAGTTTCAAAAAGCCATGACAGGCCCAGATACACTCTGTCCTCCTCTCTCCCGTTCTGCCTATTGCATGTAGATCAAGATGCAAAGCTCTCAAGTATTGTTCTAGAGCCACTAACTTTGCTTCCTGCCACATGATGATCATGACTCACCCTCTGACACTGTAATCAAGCCCCCACTTAAATGATTTCTTTTATAAGATCTGCCGTGGTCATGGTGTCTCCTTGTAGCAATAGAAACAACAAAGACACCAAAGTAACTTGATTGTCTGAGGCCATTTTTCACTGTATTCAATACTCTGGTGGCAGGACTAACACATCCAAAGATAACACATCCTGGGTCATCTGGAAGGTTCATATTACAGAAATGGTCACTGTATATTATATGTCACCATGCAAGATGAACCCTAACCCAGAAACCTGAAGTTAACATGCTCTAGTATCTGAAATTTCTTCAATACAACATTTTGCTTATCACGTCTCCAATTTTGTATTTCGAGATTAAGGATGTTCAGCTGTTGAATTCTGTGTAAATATACCCAAGTCTGAAAAGCAGAACAGTAAAGTGTTTGGTCCCAAGTATTTCAGCTTGATGATTATCAAATCTGTACTATCTTCTAGCTCTTCTGCAAAATGCTAAAAAAAAAAAAAAGACTATCAGTTTTTCTATCATTTCTTTCTCTTTGCAAGGGAAGAAAATAAAGGTAGATTGCTTGAACAGAGCTTGAACAGAGTGAAGTACACAGGTTCTCTGGCTGCAGAAACTAAAGCCCAGAGGAAGTTTGTTTAGAAATTAAAATTCTCCAGATTTTTTATGTAAATAAAAATCCCAAAGAAAGCTGTGCTTGCAAAGACTGACAGTCAGAATTACAGTGATATGGAAAGGTTGGAATGTTGCAGGTCCCAAGCTTGATGTTTCCACCATTGTGTTTTAAAATTGCCTTGACTTAGAATGTGTACTGCTGTTAGACAACTACATGAAACTGCCTCCATGTGGGAACATGGAACCCGGAAAAACCATGTTTCTGGGCCACAGTTACTCAGATTTGGCTCTAGAATAAACAATCTCTTATTCCCTTTGAGGTAAGAGCTGTGGGTTTTTGGGGTCAATATTTATAAATACAGTCTTGTGAGTGTACAATTTCCTTCACCTGTGTCCAGGCTTTCCTCACTCACGGCCTTCCCCCTGGAGATAAGCATTTTCTCATCTCCACCCCTTTTTATTTTTTCACACAAGCTTTACGCTATCCAATGAGGGTGGCAGCAATGTTTAAATTCTTATTTCAATAGCTTGCCTTGCAGTCTAATTATTTGGTACTCCTAAGAATGTATATTTTCTTTATTCTTGTTTTAGCATTACTATCAATTTACTTGAAGTGAAATGAAACTCACTGAACCAAAAGACAGATTTTTAATGAGACCTGTGTTAATTTCCTAGTTTACATAATTACCTGGGTATTATCAAACACACAGTCACAGTAATAGATTTAAAACAGAACTTCCCTAAAGGAACCAGTTTTATTTATAGTCTGTTACCTACTATAAAGCCACCCAAATTAGAAACTGTGGCACGGTTACCAAGTCAAGCCTTGCTCATACATAATCAAACACCTACTGACGGTGCCATTCACATACAACCAACTTGATATTTCTACAGCTCCCACCCCGGCCCTTGCCTTTCTTTATCTGAGCCAACTCAATGGCCTCCTCTCAGGTCTCTGTGCTCACTGTGTATTTCCATAAGGCCATTAAAGCTCTCTTTGTAAAATGAGATCAAGTATCACTCAACCCAAGCCCTATTCCAGGCTCTGATAGTGTTCACCCTAAAACTCTTACACCCACCATGTCCAGGCCCACTCCCAAATCCTCAACAATATTTATCTTCTATCAATCTGATAATTGTGACTCACATATCCTCTGTGTCTAAAATGTGTCCCCACATTTGCATTCTTAATAATGTCTTATAAAAAGCCTGATGCTTCTCTCCTATGTCCATGCTCTTGATGTATAACTCATATAGCATCTACTATAATCTCATAAGTATTTTTGTACTTTCTCAACCCACAGATAGAAGGATAGAATCCAGTCACCTTCTACAGTCTGCAAAATGCCAGGTACACAGCAAACACTCAGTGTTTGTAAAGTGAATGAATGTCTATGCAGATTATCATAATTCAATGCAAAACTGAATAAAATCAATTATTTATCTTCATCTAACAAGATAATTCAAGGACTGAGATTCATCCTGAAAACTCAGCTAAATCTTCAAACCAGAATCACAAATCTCACCTTAAAAATATTAAGTCACCACTGCTATATTCTGAGGTGTGTGTGTGTGTGTGTGTGTGTATTTTGTTTTATCCAAGGATCCCAGGTTATTGTCCCTACCTTACTCTGACCTACCCAGCTGATAATAGCTAATAAGGTACCTATTTCAGAAGGAACTTTGATCCACATTAAGAGTGTAACACAGGCAGGAGAAGAACCACACAGGCAGATCCTGCTGGGTTTCTCCATACACTGTATTAGGGTTATATACAATGAGGGAAGTCTTCATAAAACCCAAATCAGACATGATTTAGAGACAAGTTCCAAAGACAGCACAAAACATTTCTTCATCCTCCGTTTATGTAGCTCTTCATCCGTATCCCACACAAGCGAGCACGTCTCTGGGTTCTATGACTCACTCAATCAAATTAATGAACATGGGAAGCAGATTTACAGGCCAGTCAGTCAGAAGCACAGGTAAAGTAACCTGGTGCTTGGGGGAGGCCTATGAAGGTGTCATCTTTGAAGATAAAGTCCCAAGATAAGACAGACATGTCTGAATATGAATTGTACCTTCAAAAAGTGCACGTACTGAAACTCAGGTCCTAGCTTGTGGTGTTATTAAGAGGTGAGTAGGTCCCAACAGTGCTAATCCGTTATCTATTATCATTATCCATTATCAAGAGGCTAATCCATTAAAAAGTTCATGTTAATGGGGCTGTGAGGAGGTGGGCCTAACAGAGGAAGTGGGCCACTGGGGCTTATCACTGAAGGATGAATCTTGCTCCTGGCCTATTCCAGCCTCTCTGGGTGCCTGGCTCCCATGGGAGGGGCAGCTTTCCTGAATCATACAATGATGCTACCGTGATTCTCTACCAGCTCATGTTTGACTGTGAGTGGAAATCTTTATTCTTTCGCTAATTTTTCTCACATTGTGTGTAGACACAGTGCTAAGTCTGTTATTACAACAGTGCAGATCAGAACTGAGCTGGGTTAATGAGCATGAAGCTGCTGTCTGGAGTAGAATTAATTGCTTGTTTACTGCGAGGTGGAAATCCTGACAACTTTCGGGGTTGAAAAGTAATTAGTTGTGAAAGTGTAGCAAGGAAGGCTCTGAGTCAGCCTCTCCTTCCTACACACCAACAGTGTTTATTTACTCAGTACATATTTTGTAGCATTGTAGCACTAGGCATTTTGCTGGATAGGAGAAACCATGAGCTATTCAGCTTTCAAAACACCTTCCTATCCATTACCATATACACACAACTAGGTAGGGCGATTTTTATCATCTTTGTTTTACAGATGACATATCTGAAAGCAAACAGTTTATGTGAGTTAGTGACTTATTCAGCATCAAAGGCAAAAAGATGCACATCTGCAGCTAAAAAGCAGATGGTTTGCGCTGCAATTAAAAATTCTCCATGATCTTCAAGATCTATTGCCCTCGTTTTCTCTGTAGAGAAATTTCAATCCTAAGCTAAAACATCAAACTTCAGAAAAATAAACTGCTCACATCTTCAGTAGCCCGAGGTCAGAACTAACCTGTTGTCCTTGCACACAGTCACTCTGTCTCCCCCAGGTATCAGCTTCTTCTGCTCGACCACCCCATAGCTTTCTCGGCACACCTTCATTTAAAGCAGAGAAATGTGTGTTTTCATTTTTGTTAACTAACATTTGTCTTCCTAGAGCCCAAATGACTCAAGGGAAACTAGGAATAAATGTAATTTAATGACTGCTTTTACAGGAAATTGGGGGGTATAATAAAAATCTGAGTCAGAAAGATATCAACATTTAAAAACATTTTAAGCTATGGAGTTACCATTAAATGGAATCAAGGAGAAAGTGGCACAAACTGTAGAAAATAATAGCTTCTACATGTCAAAAGCAAGAAGATTAATGCTTTGGTAAGTTTCCTAAGTGCATAGATAAATACAGATAGTTTTGACTCAAGAGAGTCTCTCCCTTTGTTGTTTTGTCATAAATCTAATGTTATTATGATTCATCATCACCACAAAGAACACCCACCCACTGTCATAAACACAGGAATGCATACCGTGAAGTTGAGGCAAAAGGTCTCCTCAACATCTTCACCAGGGTAATCGAGAAGCTCTTGAAGACTCCTGGTCACAGAAGAAAAGGAAAAGAAGCAAATCAGATGTTGCAATGGTGTTTCTACCTCAACTAGGTCCAGTCTTTGCCAAGAAAACTAAAGAAGAAAAGTCTAGAGTGAATATAAATTCAGAAAGCCATGTACCCAGATGTTACGAGAATAAAGGGAGCAGATTCTACTGACTCCCTTCCCTGCAGACACATATTCCTAAACTGATGAGAAGATTCAGATAGGTTTATGTCTGATGGGCTTGTGTTTGCTCCTCCTTGCATTGCTTAGTGTACATATATTTACACAAGAACACAGTAGTGTAAGGGCCCCATAGACTGGCTTTACCCACATACATTAGCAAAATAATCCTGCTATAAAAAAAAAAAAAAAGCCATAAAGTCACTGAGACTGGCCTCCACAGGCTCATGTATTTGTACTTGGTTCAACTTGGTGGCACTGTTTGGTTAGGCTTGGAAGGTGTGGCCTTGCTGGAGGAAGTGTCACTGGTGAGCTCTGAAGTTTCATTCCCAGGCTGCTCTGTTTGTTTTCTGCTTGAAGTTTGAGAAGAAAGTTCTCAGCTGTTTGTGAAATCATGACTTCTGTCTGCTGCTACACTTCCCTGACACAATGGACTCCTAGCTCTCTGAAACTGTAAGCCTAGAAGATTCTTCATGGCTTAATATCCCAATGAAAGAAAAGTCATTAATACAGTCACCTTATCTAGACAGGAATCTTATGGGTGGGTTAGAACATAATCACCAAACCACATTTCCAAATGTTGAAGTCCTCAAACACCAGAATCCCTAATGTCCCAAATTCCTAAAGGACAAAATCTCAAATATGACTCTAGTAAAACAAATTTTAAAAATTCTTTGAGTGAGTGCTATAGCTCACTCACTCAGCACACAACAGTTCTTGGTTCAATACCCATTCCTAAAAATGATAAAGAACAAAGCAACCCCTCATACAAACAACAGAAAAGCATCTTAAAGCACAGCTATTTCCACTCTTAAGGAAGATTTGGAAAACATAACAACTTAAGATGTTACTTATGAAACCACTTCAAAACACAAAAAAGGCAAATAATAGAGATTTTCAAAGCATAAACACTCAGACACACAAAACACAGTTGTAAAAGTTGAATAGTTAAGATCTATCCAAACAGGATAAACCTATTAAAATCTGTACACCTAAAGAAACTAATTAAGAGGGAGAACTCTGGCTAAAATGCTCAATCCCCATCCAGAAAGGCAAAGAGGATGGACATCAGAAGGAGGGAACAAGTTAGGAGCCTGCCACAGAGGGCCTCTGAAAGGCTCTGCCCTGCAGACTATCAAAGCAGATGCTGAGACTTACGGCCAACCTTTGAGGAGAGTGCAGGGAATCTTATGAAAGAAGTAGGAGTTAGTAAGACATGGAGGGGACAGGAGCTCCACAAGGAAAGCAATAGATCCATAAAATCTGGGCATACGGGTCTTCCCTGAGACTGATAGTCCAACCAAGGACCATGCATGGAGATAACCCAGAACCCCTGAATAGATGTAGCCCATGACAGTTCAGTCTCCTAGTGGGTTCCATAGAAATGGGAACAGGGACTGTCTCTGACATGAACTGATTGGCCTGCTCTTTGATCACCTCCCTCTGAGGGGGGAGCAGCCTTACCAGTCCACAGAGGAAGACAATGCAGCCACTTCTGATGAGACCTAATAGACTAAGATCAGAAGGAAGGAAAAGAAAACCTCTCCTATCAGTGGACTTGGGGAGGGCCATGCGTGGAGAAGGGGGATGAAGGGAGTAGGAGGGGAGGAGGGAGGGAACTACAGGGGGGATACAAAGTAAATAAAGTGTAATTAATAAAAAATAATTTAAAAAAGATCTATCCAAACAATATTCACAAGTGAATACATCAAAAAATGAATCGTTAAAACAAATAGCACTTCTTCGCGTGTGTGCGCAGCAGTTTTGTAAGAGTGGCCATCTGACATCCAGGGAAGAGCAACTGAGATCCTATGAAAGGGCGATTACTCATTGCACTGGGTCCCACCACAAATACAGCCACCCAAGGAACGAAAGTCTTGAGAAACTTTATCTATTATAAATGCAGACGTATAAAAAAGAAATATCTTCACTATTGAGCAAGTTTTAACATTTTTACACATATGCAAAAAGCCAGTGATAATATGACAGACTCTCACTGTCAAGTTTGCAAAAATTGCATAAGATTTTTAAAAAACTAATAAATCAAAACAACAATACAAAAAATCCCCCCAAACTTTGGAAATTGTCAAGTAATTTGTATCTCCAGTACTGGGAACTATGGAAAGACCCAGCCAAACTTACACACCAGCCTATGGAAGTGTCCTCACAGTCACACAGTTGTCCAGGTCCTCATTGCGCTTGCTACAAGGCACCTACATCACATGGTAGGCCCCTCTCAAGAGTCCATCGTTCTGACTCTTGAGGGTTTTGATCTCTAGGGACTGGAAAGTTTCAGAACTTTAGCCTTTGGAGATTTTGATCTTCTCAAATTTGACTATTCAGTGTTGTGGTATTTGGGATTCTGTATAGCATTAATTCCTGCTTCACTTACTAATGCATGTATATGGTATTTTATTGTCTGTCATACTGAAGAAACCTACTCTTCAGAATGTACTTATATAAACAACCATCACATGCCAGCTTGCAAGAGAATACATCATTATTACTTGACCGTTTCACTCTTTTTCTTCAGAAAATCCAGCCCTGCATTTCTATCAAGAGTTATCCATGGGGCTGTGTCAAGACAGAATGTGTGATGGTGCTGATATCGAAAGGGTCAGGTGTTGGGAAATCTTCACTAATCCCAAAATCAAGTGCTGGAAAATCCTTCATTGATCATTGGCTAGGGACTACTCAATAGAGTACCAAGAAAATACCATGACTACCAAGAAAATATCACAAAAGATTACTATCTAGAATTATGGGGTGTTTAGGGCAGTGCCAGCATATGAAAACCGTCACTGTATAAATGTCATAATTTTAGTCCATGACATAACAAAGAAGAAGGTGAACAGGTTACCCTTAAACTCATAATGCTGGTCTCTGGGAGTTCTCAAAAGGAACATGTGCAATCTGGAGTCTGGGTGATTAAGGGGCTGATAACAAGTGACAGTCTGCTGGCGGCAGGAATTAACCTGGATCAGATTCATGAAACCAAATGCCATGAAGTTCTAACTAGGACAGCTTTCTTGGCTGAAGACATCAATGCAGAGATTAATTTAGGTTATAAAAATCCATGTATATAACTACAGGTTCTTCCAGTAATGTCAAGCTCAGTGGATTTAAAACGTATTTATTAGCATGTGTGTGCTAATATTAGCACACGCATGCCATAACATGCATGTGGAGGTCAGTGGACAATTCTGAGAGTAGGTTCTTTCCTGCCAGGGATCAAACTCATGTTGCTGGGTGCATTCACCCCTTTACCTGATGAGCCATCTTATCAGCCCAATTGTAAAGATCAATTTTATTCATGTATTTATGTGTGTGTATTTGTGTGTGTGTACACGAGAGCACACGCATGCTCCCCACATTTTTCTGATAAGGGCAAAGAGAAGAGATACTCTCTAAAAAAAAAAAAAATCAGATTCAAGGCTTTCCTGATTTTAAAAAAAACAGGACAGATAAACAAACAAACAAAACCTCAAAACACAAGATAGACATTAACAGCCTTCATTACAACAGACTTGAACTCATTTTCCATAAGAGTGATCACACCATGGCAGTTTTCCCAGGTTTCCACTTGCTGGGTCGAATCCCTAACGTGCCAGTCTTTTGAGGAAAGCATCTTAGAACCCTACCCTCCAGCTTCTGTCCTCAAAGGTAAAATGAAAGGAAGTGACAGTGCAGGCTTTGGACTTCATGCCTGCTGCGCTCTATGCCTTTCTGCCTCTTCTCACACATTAAGCAAAAGCCTTGTGGATGCTTGAGATAATGTCAAAATGATAGGGCAAATCAGCAGTGACAGTACCACAAAGGAAAAAAATAACACAAGAGCCACTGAGGTTAAAAACCCTTACCAAGGGAACTTAAAACCAGGCAGCCAGCTAAAAAACATACCTCAAAATATCCAGTTTTGAGAAGGGCTCCAAAGCAAAGAGAGCCACATCTCTTACTGAAGCCTTCTCTTTAGAAACCAGCATAAACCATCACAGCTTGTGCCTCTTCTGCTATTTCTCATACTCTAAATTTCTTGGCGTTCCCACCCCACCATTCCTGAGTTCTTGAAATGTCTCCTTTCACCTTAAGTCCCTGCTCCAACTTAAAACCAGTACCTTTTCCCATTAAAAAAAAAAAGCTGCCTCCTCCCTCTGAAGCCAGCTGTGTGTGTGTTTGCTTCCCAAAATCAACACAAAGAAATTCAAGAAAAACAAGGCACTTAAAACAAAACAAACAAACAAACAAACAAAAACAAACAGGAGTAATATAAAAATGTAGCTTGACTACTTTAGAAAGCATTCTGATAGTTCCTCAAAAAGCTAAATATGGAATGAGCATATGATCAGCAATTCTACTTCTAGACGTACATCAGAGTACCGAAAGTTTATGTTTACACAAAAACTTGTATATAAATGTTCTCAGCAACAATATTTGTATTAGTTCCAAAGCAGAAAAGCTCCAAGTGTCCATTAACTGAAGAAATATGAGAAACAAAATATGATATATATGGACAAAGGAGTATCACACAATGGGCTATCATACAATGGTATGGTAGACAATAGAATGCTACACAATGGAGTATTACCTGCCAGTCTGAAAAATGAAACACTGATTCATGTTATAACAGGACAAATCTGGAAAACATACCAAGTGAAACAGACAAATTGAACAATTCTGTAAGAATCTATCTTTTAAAAATATCCAGAGTAGCTAGGCATAATATCACATGTATTTCATTCCAGCACTCAGGAGGCAAAGACTGTGAGTTTGAAGTGAGCTTAGTTGCATATTTAGTCCCAGGCCACCTAGCGTGGTATATTGGGACTTGTTTAAAAAAAAAAAAATCTAGAACACCAAACTGATAGAGGCTGAAGGTAGATTAGTGTTTACCCAGGACTAATGATATGGAGCCCAGGGATAAGATAGGAAAGCACCAATTTGATTTTCAGATAAAGAAAATATCCCAAAAATGGCAACAGTGACAACAAAGTCACACTACTTTAAATACACCTAAGTATATTTTAGTGTTCTTTACATGGGTCAGTTGTATGGTATGTGAATTATCTTTTTTAAAATCTCTCATTTCAATGCTCTCCACACTGTCGTCTCTGCACCACGAAAAGGCTATTTCCTTCCTTTTTTTGTACAAAATAATGAAAGCAAATATTATTGTGTACTCCTGAGGAACTATGGTAGTGCACGCTCTCTCTCTCTTCATATTTCAACATTTCAATGTTTATTATTTATTTTATGTGTATAGATGTTTTTGCCTGCTTGTTTGTCTGTGCATCCCTGGTAACCAGATGAGGACACTGAATCCCCTGAAATTGGAGTTACAGAAGGTTGTGAATGGCCATGTAGATTCTGGGATCCAAATAGCAACCAATGCTCTTAACTACTGAGCCATCTCTACAGCCCCAGGACTTTGTTTTCATTTCCTCACTTGTCCCCATGGACACAGGCAATGCTTCAAGAAATGCTGTATGACCTACAATGTTTCAATACACCCAAACTTGCACATTGTTTTCCATCTTAGATCCCCATGCCAGAGCAATGAGGACAGGTTCATACACCATCAGCGTAACTTTTTAGCTCTTTACCTTCCTTCAGTTGGTGACAGTTCCTTTAAATCTTCCAAGCCAGGCTTTACATTCAGTAACTTCTTGTAGAGAGCCAATGGGAAGTGGAGGTCAACCACAGTGGAGTTGTAGATAGCGAGTCCACAGGTTATGCCGATCAAGTGAAACCAGTTGTGTTCTACAAAACACTTTTATGGTGCATGCAAATGTATTAGAAACAGTGTCTGAAGACCCTGAAACACTCTACCACCTACTGAAAACATTTCTGTATATTAGAATAAAGTCCTTATTTATGTTTACACTCTGAGGCAGAGAAACTTCCCTGATCAAAGTTCATTAGTTACAGAGCCAATGCAGACAAAGCCAAGTGTAACACTTCTGGTGATCAAGAATCAACTTCCCACTCAGAGACTGTTCAGTGGTGAACAAATCATCTTATTCCATGCCGCCCATTACCATAGCCACCTATTTCATTTGCCTACTAGGCACATGAAATGTGAATAGTAATAAATTTTTATTACTGAATTTTAATTTTAATCACCAGATGTAACTAACTACTATCATTGATGACAATGAAAATGTAAGGAGAAAACTCTAGGAGCCCCTAAATTATGATTTGGGTGAAAGACGAGCCCTTTAAATGCTGGCGATCTAACCCAGGTACATGCATGCTAGAAAAGTTCTCTGCCATAGCACCACAACCCCAGCCCTGGCACGTCTTTTAAGCCTTAGCTCTCCTATTGAATTTCTTTTAGAAAATTAGGTACAAGTCTATGTGTACATATTCAGATACAAACTACCATCATTAAAAGAACAAACATGTGACCACTGATGCCCACCACATTATAAAACATATCCTCCCACTCTCTGATTTTTTGAGACAGGGTTTCTCTGTGTAACCCTGGCTAACCTTGAACTTGATTTGTAGACCAGGCTGGATTCAAACTAACAGAGATCTACCTGCTTCTGCCTCCCTGAGTGCTGGGATCAAAGGCATGCGCCACCATGTCTCTCCTTAACTTTTCATGAAAAGCATTTTCCTGGCTTTTTGAATAGATTTTATTAGTTGTAAAGGATGACACCACCATGCTATCATACTCTTAATATCATGTTAGAATCATTCCATCACCTCCATTTCTCTGACTTTATGTTTGGTCCCAGAGTAGCCTCTCCTTTATTTCCTGTCTCTGTGGTTGAAACCTGGCCTCTCCAGCACTATACAAATGTCCCAGCAATAGACACAAATGCTCAGGTTATATTTGATAACCAGATCTCTGTGTTTCTGGGTCTCTGTGAAGATGAATTTTGGTTGTTAAACTGGCTGGAATCAAGCTGGCTTATTGCCTCTCCTGTATATTGTTGCTGCTGCTAACATCAAACTCCAGCTTCCTTGAGTTCTACTCTAGACTAATGAGCAGTGGTCTCCATCTTCCTAGCCTTTCCATCAATCCAACTGCTGAGGCATCCAGTCTCAAGGACTGAGCAACTGTTCCAGCATGCAGGCAGCCACTGTTGAATATCCAGGGCCTATGATGTAAGGCAAGCTAATAAAACCTTTTAGGTAATACAAATTTGTCTTATTGGTTCTGGTCCTCTAGAGAACCCCTGACTTATGGAATCCCCATACCATACTGACTTATGTAAACCCCATATCTGAGGGTTGTTTTTTCCTAACTTGCTCTCTAGCATCTGCAGTCTGGGATCTCTTCTGCCTTGGCCTACAGACCATACAGTAACAAATAGCAAAGGTTTTCACTTTTTTCAATGCTTGAAGATCCCAAAAATATACCTAGCATTGGGTCTAAATATGTCTAACACTAGAGTCTGCCCTGTGAGCTGCTCCAAGCTGATTAGGTCAGTCTTTCTCTATGGCCCACACATGTGGAGTTCTTTGTGGGTCCCCTTTTCACCTTGATCCTGTGCTAAGATAGAGAACAGGAAGAGCCAAACTAATCTTCTGAGATGATCTTCCTTTGATAAGTATAGGAGTATTTTGCCTGCATGCATTGTCTGTGCACATGTGCATGCCTGCTGCCGGAGGAGGCCAGAGAGAACATCCCTCAGAACTGGGAGTTACAGATGGTTGTGAAGCAACTCTGTGTGGGTGCTGGGCATCAAAGCTGGGTCCTCTGTAAGCACAGTCAGTACTCTGAGCCACAGAGCCATCCCTCTAGCCCCTAAAACTAGTTTCTTCATCACAATTCTCCTTTTACCCGTCATGTATATTATGGCCTGGATCTTAGCTACTAGAAATGGCACTCACAGCTGACAAAATGTACTATGAATCTTGAAAGCAGTTCAAGCCTGAAGGCTAGACATGCTAGACATCTGAATGGTAAATTTTGCAATGTTAGAAACCAGCGGCCAGTCTGACAATAAACAGAAAGTTTAGTGCCAACAGTGTACTTCACTGTGACATGGTGAACTTACTGTATCTGAAAACCACAGAAGACTGGAATCTTGATAGTAGGTAAACATCCCATAAATGGGATTCAAAAGTTCTTTTAACAGCAAAAGAAAGAACTCCTTTGTAACGCCACCAGCATCTACTGCTTCTTCCCCATCAAAGATCACCTTGAAATATGAAAGCAGAATGAATACTCCAGGGAAAGCAATGGCCAGCCAGACTCAACTCTATGACCAAGCAAGAGACCGGTATAAATAACTGACTGAAAGCAGGGGCTGTGTGTAATAAAACCCTGAAGTTGCAGAAAGAACAACCACATAGACTGCTAGGATTATTAGGGTCTTTTTTTTTTCCTTTTTTTTTTTTTAATTTTATTTTTTTCTTATCAGTTACATTTTATTAACTCTGTATCCCAGCCGTGTCCCGATCCCTCATAACCTCCCAGTCCCTCCCTCCCTCCCTCATCTCCACCGTGCCCCTTGCCAAGTCCACTGATAGGGGGGACCTCCTCCCCATTCATCTGATCCTGTTTTATCAGGTATCTTCAGGATTGGCTGCAAAGCTCTCCTTTGTGGCCTAACAGGACTGCTCCTCCCTTGGGGGGTGGGGAGGCCAAAGAGCCAGTCATTGAGTTCCTGTTAGAAATAGTCCTTGTTCCCCTCACTATGGGAAACCAATTGGTTACTGAGCTACCACAGGCTACATCTGAGCAGAGGTTCTAGGTTACATTCATACATGGTCCTTGGTTGCATGTCAGTCTCAGAAAAGATCCTGTGTCCAGATATATTTGGTCCTTGTGGAGCTCCTATCCTTTCCTCATCAGACTAACTCCCCTTCTTTCTTATGATTCCCTGTACTCTGCCAAAGGTTTGGTCATGAGTCTTTGCTTTGAAAACACTGCTAGTTAGAGTCTATTAGGGTCTTTTTAAAAATTCTTTTCTGTAAGATACTAGTAATTGAACAGGAATCACATACATGAGAAGCAAGGGCTCTCCCACTGACACACACACACACGAGAAGCAAGGGCTTTCCCATGGAGCTACGCCTCTGGTCCTTGCTGTGCTTTATGAGATCTATCCAAGTTGTCCAGAATGGCCATGAATTTCCCATTTTCCTACTCTAGCCTCCCGATTAGCTGGGATTAGAGTTGGATATCCATGTCCTTACTAGGACACTTTGGAGATGGTAACAATGTGAGCTGTTGAAAAATCAGTTCAATCTATTGTGGACTGTTGTTCTGAAACTCATGCATTTACGAGGCAATTTACAAGAGATAGAAGTCATTTAATTTTAAACAACTTCAAGTAATGCATTAACTATTCCTCGAGATACCCATCTATACCAAGTTTCACACAGGGCTGGAGCACAGTAAGCAGTCTATAGAGTAAGCACTAATGCAGTCTATGAGAAGAGATCATTTATTACTCATTATAAGTTGTTAAACTTGCCTACACTAATAGGTCAACAGCTTTTTGGATGACTTCACACCTTTCCATCTTTCCATTTTTCTTTTACTTTCTTTTTCTTAAATCTTGAACACCCTAATCTTCTTAGGTGAGAGCTTAGTTGTTATATTTTGTCAAATCCTTTCATCTTATATGACTGTTTCTGATAGTCTAGAGCTGGCACACTGAAGACAGCAGAAGGGGTTTCTCAACAACCCAATAGCATTTAATCTGATGTTATAATGAGCTGCTCTTTCTGGTGACTTAAAAGAAGATGATTAGATTCTTGTAAAAAAAAAAAAAATGAATTGAAATCTATAATGAATGGCTGCCCTCCCTCTGTATCTTAGTAAGATCCTTTGCCACATGCTAATGAAGGTACTAGAAGAGTATATGGAAGAGGCTCACTTTGAGAGGCTTCTTCAAGTCGATGTCAGAATGAATGCTCAACTCTCTCAGGGCATCTCCAACAAGGTGGTTCCTGCGGACATGAAGGACCAAGAAGGGGCTTCTGGCCAGCAGAGGCTCCAGCGTGAGAAGCATGAAGACATTCTGCAGGTTGGCGCCATTGACAGCCACCTGGAACAGAACAGAGTAACTGTGAATACAGCATGCAACCTGGAGACTCTCCAAACCTGAGGAGACTGACTAATTTCCACTTTACCTTTTCTTTAACTTTTTCACTATTTATATTTACAGGCTACAAAAATCTTTCTAATATGGACTCAACAAGATTAGCTGAAATAATTTATGAGTCATATGATTTAAATAACTAGGCCAACTAAAGTGATTTCAACTCATTAAGACTAAAATAACAATATGCTTGAAGAATCGTGGCAGAGTACATGAAAACACAATTCCCTAAATAGCAGAAACAAACAAACAAACAAACAACAGTCACTGTGAAAAATGTCCATCTCAGTAAAATATCTGCTACTCAGCCAAATGAAAGCAGATATACATATAGATAAGAGACAAAACTAGAGGAAGGCAGAAAGAAATAGAGATAAGAAGAGGAATGAAAACATGTCCATTAACAGCAGGTTTGGCAGATCTGGATTGCTAGCTCACTAATGTTTTGTATATATTCAGACAAGATAAACTGCATTTTATAATGAAATACACAGTAAATGAAACCATCTTTTTGACTCATTAAGGACCACCAGGTTCCATTTGATTTTCCCCTTTGCATCAGGTCAGCAAACTGTGGTATCACAGCCTAGGACCTGGTTTTGCATAGGGTTTTCTATCATTTTAAATGGTTGGGAGGAATAACATTTACAATGTGAAAAATATATAAAATTCAAGATTTAATACAAATAAAGTTGTGCATTGATTTGGAAGTTCTTAAGTTTGTTTGGTTTTCTTTAATCCCCTTTTTCTTTTTCTGAGGCTGCCTTCTACAAAAGAGTCAAATGGTTCTTAATGGAGACACAGGGTCCACAAAGCTGCAAGTGTTTATTACCTGGCAGAAACAGAAAATACCTATTACTCCACATCAACATAAATACAAACTGAACATAAAATTACTGAAGTTGGCATGGTGGTACACACCTGTAATCTTAGCAACAGGGGCCTGGAGAAAGGCCGAGACTTTAAAGTAACCTTGACTACATAGTGAACTCAAAACTAGCCTGGAAAGAAACTCAACCCAGGAGGTGAAAGACCTTGAAATATTTAAGATACTAGGGGCAAAACATGAAAAACTGCCCCAGAAGACAGAAAGACAGGAATGATACAACAAGAACAACCATCTGCCAAAAGGAATATAGTCAATATAATCTCCATCAAAACTTTTTTATTTTTAAAAAGCCTACATTCTGTATATTAATAAAATTTACATATTAAACAAACCTGTAACAGTATTATTTGATATAGTTTGTGTAGAAGAATAAAGAGAAAAAAATCAGATTACAGAAATAAACCCCTGTGGTTACAGACTCTTCACCTTTGACAAAGATGCCAAAAACATACATTACAAAAAAGATAGCCCCTTCAGCAAATGGTGCTGCAAAAGCTAGATATTCACATGAAAAAAAAAAAAGGGAAAGAAAAAAATAAATCTGAATCTCTTATCTCTGTATAAAAATCAACTCAACATTAAGTAACCTTAATGTAAGACTTGGAAAATACTAGAAGAAAATGTCAATTAAAAAATACTTCAAAATAGAGATACAGATAAAGGCTTTCACAGAAACACCTCCAAGAATTCACTGATGGAAGTGCATAAAAATACAACATCTACAGGAGAAGGGCTGGAGCTGAAGGGACAGCTAAGAAAAAGAAGCCACTCAGGAAGAAAACGCACCCTGCTTTCTCTCATATTCACAATATATGTTTAATTGTAAACATTTACATGCGGAAAAAGGAGACCTTGAGAATAGAAGAGGCATAACTGGGGGCAAGAGAGTAACAAAGGAGAGAAAGAAGGGGTATTTTATAGGAGAAGGGGACCAGCAAGAGTTCGGCTCATAGGGAGACAGAGAAGCAAATAAGAACAAAGTATAAACAGCCCCCCCCATACAATTTATAGAACATAATCAATCTCTAAACAACTCCACCCCCCCTTTTTAAGAAAAAGCCTGGACTATAATGAGAGCCATTCTCAAAAATAAAATAATAAAATTACTGAAAAAAAAGTAATTTCTTAAAGTCATAATAAAATTTCACTCAGAAATATACCCTTTCACTAGAAAAATTACAACTGAATGTGGACAATGAGAAGAATGGTAAAAGGAGAAAATTATTCTGAATTATTATACCTGCATCTGTAACTCAGCATCAGTCTGCAACATTTTGGTCTTGGCTTGGGCATCAAATATGAAAGGGTAGGAACAAAGGGTTACAGCATCCTAAAAAACACATGATTGGTATTATTACAGTATTCTACAGAGAACACTGGAGATACACAATTATATTCAAAAGGAACCATTTACCTGTATGATAGATGGTCTAGCTTTCTGTGTAAAGAACAAAAAAGACAGACACTTACTTGAATTATAAAAGCATAATTTTACCCTCCCATATAAAACATATAACAAATCATTTCACATTATCTGCTTATTCAGCCACCAACCTAATACTATTTCAATAGCTGACAACATTTTGATGAGAAAGAAGAGATATTTTGATGGACATAGACTGAAAAAAAAGAGCAAAAATAATTTCTTTAAAAAGTAAAAGACTTTTAAAGGCCATTTACCTATTCTTCAGAATTTAAAAAATTGACTGAATTCTCTTTATAAGAAATCTAATTCATCTTGGCAGAGTGGCACATGCCTATGATCCCAGCACCTGTTAGGCTGAGGTGGGAGAACTGCCTGCTGAGGGCCAGCCTGCGCTACGTAGCATATATGGAGATAACACCTGGATTCCAGGTAGCCCAGGGCTCCTCAACTTGGATGCAAGTAACACTTTATCTGTCTCCTGACACATGCTTAGAGAAATCAAACAGTAACAACTGCATTAGATAAGTATTTTTTCTTTAAAAGCTGCTCTATAAATTTGGAATGATTCTATAATTCTAATTTTAAGAAGAGTTATAGAAAACAAATTCAGCTACAATGAAGTGTATTAAAAGGTACATTACAGTCTTACAGGAAAATAAGGAAAACGTAATTATGTTATTTGTATAGATCAGGCTGTATGCTGCACTCAATTCCTCCATATTGTAAGCAACAGTGGTTTTCAGGTTGTACCTCATAAAATAGGACTCCATTTTACAAAGCATCAGCTGGCTGAATGGCAATAACGCTGCAACTTATCTGCAATTACATGCCACCACCTGTCCAGCACTGACCATGAGGAACAGACTGTAAGTGACTTACACAAGTAGATGACACTTATCAACATAGATTATGAGCATAAAAACATGGTAGAATTAAACCCATATGCAGAAAACCTGATCCAAGAACATACCAAACACCACAGACCAACAAAAGCACAACATACATACCTGGACCACACAGAAAGAATGCTATCTAACAATAAAGAGGTAGGCTCCCACTCACTGAGCACCCAGTGAACATTTCAAGGGACTGCTAGACAGACAACTACCAGTTCCTGCGGCTTCAACTTAGCTCAGCAATGGCCCATTTGAGTTGTTATCTGTCCATCCAACCATCTGTTCATTGGTCTGTTTACCCATCCATCTGAACCAGCTCTGCCTCACCTTGATGACCCTACAGCACTGCAGCAGGGAATGATGCCATGACTTATTTCTGACCCTATGGCTCAGTTCTGCTGGCCTCCAGCAACAATCTATCTGGATTCAGCAACACTGGAAGGAAGCACCTACAATACTCTGCATCTGCTTCTCATGAGGCCTCTGAACGCTGCAGCTTTTTGAACTCTTAAAGCCATTCTGCGACTTGTGTGTATACTGTGTGGAATGTAATCTGGATTTCTTAGGTAATACTAATAATGAAGACTAGAATAAAAGAATTCGTAATATGCTAATGGCCAGCTATCATGAGATAGCTAGCTCTTATGGACAATTTTTAATCTTCTGAAAGGCATTTTGGATATATTGTTAAGGGTGTTAAGAGAAAAAATGACTCACCCTGGATGGCATCATCTCCTATGTGCTGAGGTCCTGAGCATGTCAGGCTAAAGGAGCTCAGTTGGTGGAGTGCATGCCTTGTTGTGTAAAGCCCTGAGTCTGATTATCAGCACTACACAGGCTGAGCAGGGTGGTGCATGCTTATCATCCTGGCACTCAGCCAAGGTAGAGGCAGAAAAAAAGGTCAAGGTCATTCTCTCTAGTACACAGTGAGTGTGAGGGCAGCCTGGACTACAGGATAGTTTATCACGAAAAGAAAAGAAAAAGAGAAGAGAGCCGTCGGATCAGCTGTTCTCACTGCTGTGCCTTCTCTACCATGAGGGACCACATCCCTCTGAACTCCTTTCAGTTGCTTTTCTACAGGCACTTAGTTACCACAATGTGGAAAATAACTAGCAAATGTGAACTTATCGTTGCTCAATAAACTGATACATGCAGAAAGACACAAACACATCCATCTGTGTTTCTAGCATGATGTGCTCATGACAGTTATGTAATAAATACTTTTAACAGAAACAAAAAAGAGCAATAAAGAAGTTCATCTTGATCTACAACATTTATCAAAAGAAAACAATGAGCAAATTCATGCTTACAGATCTGAGTGTGCTATGCTGCTGTTACTTTAATGTCTCCTACAATGTTCTGTGTTTTTAAATGATTTTCTTTTTACTTGTCCTTATCCCTCTGCTGGAAGTCCTGCCTGGTTACAGATACGGCCATGTCCATATCCCCCACTGCTAGGAGTCTCAGCTAGGGTGACCCCCATAGACTTCCTGGAGCCTCCCCTATCCCAGGTCTCTGGCAAATCCCAGAGATGTCCTGCACCTCTGATATCCATTCACTCACTTGCCCCTTTCTTTCCAGCACTCCCTACTCCTAATCACCATCCCTGTTCTTCTCCCCATCCCCTTTCCTATCCAGTTCCCTCCCTCCATCCACCTCCAAGGCCTATTACATGACTTTCTCAACAAAATCAAAACACAATCTGAAAGATCTCTTCTTAACTATGTGTTATCATACAATTTACATTTATCTGTTAATAACTGCACGGGTGGGCTATAAACACATAACTGTGTGCGATAAGTGAGAAAAGAAGGCGGCATTTTTGCCTGGTAGATGCTGCCTTTACTAAGGAAAAAGCACATATTCTTCTAGCTTACTGCATGAATAAGATTTAACAGCAGAGGGAGAAAAAGGAGCTGAGTCATCCCTGAAGGCAGGCAAGAGAGCTCAAGCCTGGGCCTAGTGGCTGTAGTACTTACCTAGAATGCTGGAACATTTGTTTCCAGGAGACAAGCTCGCTCTCCACACTGAGTCCCTGAAGCTCAGAAGCATTTGACTGACTATAATGTTTTCCTCTTTAATGTGTACATTTAATTTGGTTTGTAAATATTATGCGAATAAGAACTATACCTCCTTATGCATATTTAAATGAAGTCATGTAATGGCAATAATAATTAAAATCCATCTTATTGGTCCTTTGGAATATTGGAACCTTTCTCTACAATGAGAAACACCAGAGAAACAATTCCAGTCCAGTGGAAGCAAGTCTGGAACATATAATGAGGGTCAGTTTGGCTCACTCTCATGCTAATATATCAGGCTATTTTGAATTTACCACTGGATTGACCATATCTTACAAGTTTGTTTACCCTGGGCTACACATTCCCCTGAAATGGGCCTCACAAACTTTAAGTTCCATGGTTCCAGTAAACTGTATTTCAAGGTCTCTGCTGGCAACAGAGTTGTACCTATGGCATAAATTCATTTTTCAAAGTATATGAAACAGAAGCAATACATAACTAAATAGATCAGAACTGAAGAACTACAAACAACTTTTCTTAAATATGAAATCAACACTTCCTACATGTCCTATGACCAGGAGACAACATAGCCCTGTTACTGAAACACCGCTAATCTGCTCTGGCTCTGTCTTCCCTTACATGTGCCCCATACTCACATCCACGGGCAAACATGCCCACGTGCTGCACCTCCTTTGACACACCACAAGATGTCAAGATTTCTCAGATTTTGTCCCTGAAGGCCTTTACAAGCTGAATACCTCACTTGTACTGCCCTTTCGGTTTTCAAATGAAGACTATGGCACATATAACAAAGAAAATAAACTACTATTGCCTCTTCCATCCTTACTTTTCTTTCATTATTTTTTCCAATGTAATATTTTTATTGATTATTTGGGAATTTCATATAATGCACCCTGATCACAGTCACTTTCTAGTCCTCCCAGGTCTCTTACCACCACCACTGTGACCTCCTCCCACAAAAAATTAAAAAAATAAAATAGAATCCAAGTCCAAACTAGGTTGTCCATATACTCACAGGAACATGGTCCAACTCCCAGTAGCCAGCCTCTGAAAAAACACCGAGTCCTTTCCTGCCCACACCCATTCCAAAAGCCATCAATTGTGGAGATCTGTACTCCAGCATCCTTATCATAATTTTTAAGAGTTCTCTTTGATGGTTTTCTGTCTAGGGTGCTACTTTTTTTGGGGTGGGGCAGATAGGAGTTGTCATAGAAGCCTTCTATGTCTCTCTCAAGTGTGAGTCTGCACTCCTCAATGCCACTGCAGAAGTAGCTTTCTTGCCCTTTACAGTCAGCAGGAACATGGAGCATGGACTTCCACATGTTTTTTTGGCAACAGCATAAACCACAGACATCAACATGACTTCATGCCGCTACACAGGCCACTCAAATCAACACGCTACTTGGCAGCAGCATGGCCCATGGACATCAACAAGGCTTCAGACAGCTACACAGAACACAGAACACATGGCCTTTGCTAGTAACACTGGTCACTGATAAGCAACACAGTCCTGGACCCCCAAAATGGCTCTGGGCAGCAGCAGCAGCAGCAGCAAGGACCACAGTCATCAACATGGCCTCCTGTGGTAGCACAGACTATGGACATGTACTCAGACTCCAGTGGCAGCATGGACCTTGGACATCCACATGGATTCCAGTGGTAGCCCAAACCACAGACATCCACATGAATCTAAGGCCTCAACATGCCTTGGGTCAGTGGATGGAGGAAACAAACACAGCCTCCAGGAGTATCACGGACCATAGAGATCTTTTGAGAGGGTCTAACCCAGAAAATGAACTGTTCTTCATCTTGGACATCCTGTCATTGCTCAGAACCAGGGCAATCCTGTGGATGGGCAGCATGTTCAGGACGTAATCTGGACAAGCTCCAGGCTGCTGCACATGTCCCTGTTGGGCATACTCAGCAACACCATGTTCCCCAGTTCAGCATAGCCTTCTCTCACACCTGTTATCACTGGTCAGTCTTTACTTCTGCCTCTTGCTACTGCATACTCACTGATCCATTCTTCCATCTTTCCCACCTCTTCATCACATATTTGTTTATTGCAATGGTATTGGAAACTGAAGTGTGTCCCAAACAGCTTTGTATGAAAATATTCACTGCAATGAATCAGTGGTCTTGTTCAGGGTTTCTGGTCTCTGAAGCACCATAAACACTGGACCATTGCTGATACTCCTCTTGGATATCCTGCTGTTACCCAGAGTAAGAGTGATGTTGCAGTAGGCAAGGTGTCTGGAGGGCAGGTTCTGTGAGAGTTTCTAGCTGCCACACAACTCCAAGCCCTCCATGTCTGTCATCCAGAGGCTTGGCAGGGTCAACCTTTGTGTTTGCAGCCTGAGGGCAACACCACTGCCCCGTGCACTCCATCTCCCAACAGGGCAGGCAGCACAGGCTACAGTCACAGCAGCTCCATGCTGGGGTCAAGCTGCCAGGCCTAAGACTGGCCCTATTCAGTAAAGACATGTTTCCTCAGGAGCTGCAGGCTGCCATAGACCACGCTGTCCTCAGTGTCAGCTGACTGTGATTCACCAGGCACTACTGCTGAGCTTGCAGGTTGCAGGCAGCACCACTGCCCCACACTTTCCAGCCTCAGCGGCTCTGTGTTGGTGGCTAGCTGGCCAGTGGGCCTCGGGTCTGCCCTATTCAGTAATGACATGTTTCCAAGGGAGTTCCAGGCTGCTGTACACCACCCTGTCCTCAGTGGAGGCTGCAGGCACAACTGTTCAGCTTCTAGGCTGGGGGCAGCACTGTTTCCTGTCTCCCAGCAGGCAAGCACCATTAGCTGCTGCAGTGCTGCTCCATGCTGGAGGCTGGCCAGTGGGCCTAGGGAAAGCCCTATTCTGTATTGACCTGTTTCTGCAGGAGCTCCAGGCACTGCACATCTTCCTGTCAGAGTTGCCAGGAGCCCAATGGCTCACCAGGCACAACCTCTGTGCTTACAGCTGCTGGCTGAGATGCAGCAGCGAAGGGTATAGATTCACCATTTTCTGCTGTGCACAGTTCACAGTTCTGTTCCATCATCTTTCTTTCCAATTTTATGAGCCCACATTTTACTGACATTTTTCCATAAGACTTGCCTTTTTTTTTTTATTTTTTTTTAGCTTTTCTTGAGCTATTGTGGGCTCTGCAGACTCTTTTTCCATTGCCATGTTACCCTTTGAAGGCTCTAGGAGTCTCTCACATCTCACATTCCTCTAAGCTCTGCTGCAGGTTCTAGGTGCCTTCCTGTGCTTAGAGCAGGGGGAAGAGGGGCACCATGATTGTTTTCTTCTGCTGCTTCTCAAGATGGACAAAATCAGTCACTTCAGAACAATCCTTTTCAGTGCTACACACATCAAGGTAGGTAAACATAAGGCTGTGTTCCACCCTAGTGGCCAGTTAAGGTAATAATACGTGTAGGTATTCCAGAACTAGTTGTGAAAAGAGTGGCCAAAAGCTCCTGGTGTGCCTAAGCACTGCAGTGGCTGCTCGTCATCCTTACAACTCTCATTGTCAAATGAGAATGCCAAAGGCAGCAGATCGAGGTTAGGATTTTAATCCAGTTCTTTTTGTGTTATTTATTTATTTATTTATTTATTTATTTATTTATTTATTTATTTATTTATTTTTGGATAAAGTATTCCTATATAGTCCCACTCATTCTACAGACCTTGAACTCACAAAGATCTGCCCTCCTCTGCCTCCCAAAGGCTAAAATCTGTATTACAGATGTCTGTAGAGGGCAGAAGTGCTCACCGAGAAGCTCAGGAGAAACCAAGAATGTTAATCATGCAGGGTTGGCTCCTCAAGGGAGGAAAAGTATACCTGTTTTCCACCCAGATGCTGGGGTGAATGTTGTTAACGACTTGATGACCCTTGCTACCTGTAGGCCTCCTCCAGACCCCCCAGAATGTTTACCACCTAGACCTTCTCCCCACCTAGACCTTCATCTTTTGCATCCTTAGGGGACAATCAAATGTGCTTTACAGCCTGGTGACCTCAGATCCTCCCCGAGGCCCTTAAGCTATAGAACCCATCTTCATGGTACAGAGCAAATGTACTTTGCAGAAGAGTTTTGATGTAGCCATGTCTTAAGCTTTATTGTGTACAAGGGATTGAGAAAACTGTTACAGGAAACTTTTTTTCCAAAATTGCACTGTATTTAAATATGTCTAAAATAAACTGCCTGGTGTCAGACTTCAGAAGCCTGAATCAGCCTGGCTAAATCATGCTGAACTGAGTTTCTTTCTTGCCTCCCCATGGTTCATTTCTCTACAGGCCAGAGTACTTGCGGGGACCTCACCAGTACCCAGACAGTTCTTTTAGGATGGATCACGTTTTTGTTCTATACACTATACTAGTGCCAGGCTAAAATGTCAATATAGCAAACCAATTATTCATTATTTTTATTTTAAAGTGATTAAAATAAAAACTATATGAAATACCACGATCACATAAAACAAAATTTCAACATCAAAAACTTCAACATCAAAAACAAACTTCAATTTGTAATTACACTGTACCTTATACAATAGAAAAATTTTTACAGAAAGCACAAAATGACACACACTAACTTCAGCTAATTTTCTATCTTGTTGTAGTAATGGCTTTAATTACCAAAGAGGAGATGAAAATTATTCAAGATCTTTAAGACATTTGTTTGCCACGTGTTCATAGAAAGAAACTGGTAAAACTGCTCACTTAAGTGCCTCTACTCAGAGGCCAAGTCATGACCATCAACATTCTAATATGAGCAATTTCTTTCTTAAGGCCAGAAAGAAATGAGAAAACCTGTCTGTCAGAGCAAAGCAAGCTACAAAAAAACTGCTCAACTTGCCCAGAGCTCTGAGCTCTACCTAGGGACAAAGCAGTTACCTGAAATAACTTATTAAGCCTTGTTTCTATGTCTAACATTTTGTAATTTACAAAACTGACATTTCAAATTTTTTAAAGAAAGTAAGACTAGACTCCACTGATGCTCCGATGTTAAAATGCCAATATCAACTCTTTTAAAAACATGATTTCACTGAAAAGTATTTTGCTTTTCAAAACAATAACAAAATCTTACCTAAAAAAAAAAAAAAAGTACAACAGTGTCCCAATTTTTAGGTTTTCTGTAAGAGTATCTCCATTACTTTGATCATCTATCATCTGACAAAGAAAACTACCTTGGCTATTTAGTTAAATACATTTATGTAAATATGTTGCCTTTAGAGACCACTGCAGGGCTCAAAACCAAACAGGGAAAAAAAAATGCCATCCTATTGCTGGTGAGGAATCTGTGAACCTAGCAAAAGACTCACTTCAGATGTATCTGCTGCATCAGCTGAATTAAATACAAGTACCAAAAGATCACCTGTTTTCTGACATTCAGATCTGCACAAATCCTAAAACCCTTTGCGTGCCAGTCTGCTATCACTGAGTAATTGCTGCTATGCCTAGGGTGGAAGGCAGGAATCCATAAATCGTGAGTTCAGTGTTAAACAGCATCAGAGCTGGATCAGGAATATATAACATCTTTATTTGAGTCATCCTCAATATCAGGTGGACAAAGAGTCTAGGTAGTTCACATAAGAAGAGTAAAATTCATCTCTCAGAAAATGATGAAGAGCAATTGATCCTAAATGTCAGAAATAAATCAGTGGGGAGGTGGCGCTCACCTAAAAGATGCTCTTGCACACAGCCAGTTGGTGACTTCTGACTGTGTGCCAGATCTCCTGAGATCCAAGAAATGCTGAAAGTTTATACATTAATGTCTTGATTTTTAATTTGTGGCTAAAAAAAAAAGTAAATAGTGTAAAATCTATCATCCTTGCTATTCAAATGTATGGATAAGCAATGTTAAGAATATTGGCATGGATTGGGGACATAGTTCATTAGGTAGGCATTTGTCTAGCTAGATGGTGTCTTGAGTATGATACTCAGCAATCCATTAAAAAACAAAACAAACAAACAAACAAACAAACAAAAACAGATGTGGAAGGGTGGAAGGACACACTGATAACCCAGAACCTGGGAGGTGAGGAGCAGGAAGATCAAGACAACTCTGGTTATTATGAGTCTGAAGGTAGCCTAGAGTACATGAGTTCTTATCTCAAAAACAAAACAAGGGGCTATAGAGATGGTTCAACAGTTCAGAGCACTGGCTGCTCTTGCAGAGGACCCAGGTTTGATTCCCAGTACCCACATGGCACCTCATAGCAGTCTGTAACTGGTTCCAAGAGATTGAGCAGCCTTGCCTGGTTTCTACAGGCACCGGGCATGCACATGGTGCACAGACATACATGTAGACAGAACACTCAAACACATAAAATAAAATATTAAAAGAGCAGAGTAAAAAGCAACCCCTGAAGTATTCACACCATTGCACAACGGAATTCCAGAACTGTCTCATCTTGATGAACTGGAGCCTAAACTAAAACAGCTCGAGTTTTCCAGTTCCTTCAGACCCCCTCTGCCAAACTTTCCACTTTCTGCTTTTATCAATCTCACTGTTTAGATACTTTGATTTACTTTTCTTTTTTTCTGTTTTTTTTTTTTTTCTTTTTTTAAAAATGTAGTACTGGGGATTATATCTAGAGCTGAGCATACTAAGCACAAGCCCCACCAATAAGTTACAACCCCAGCCATAGATACCATATGAAACCTTGGGACACTTATGATTATCTAAAACACTTCCAAGTTTCAGGAATGCAAGAGTTAGCTGAGTGAGGTCTAAGGCCAGCATTAAAGCAAAGACAAGGTGTATGGCTCAAGTGTACATGTCAAAAACAAACAAACAAACAAACAAACCACAAAAAGGCTAAAGCCTTAAAATATGCTTTACATGAATTCTTACCATCCCTGCTTGATGCAGAAACCACATGAGGTAGTCTTCCTGAATGTCCACCAGACTGGAAATCTCAGGGATATAAAATGTATCATATTCCACATGCTTCACTTTAAGATTTACCTGATGAAGAACAAAATAAAAACAACTAAAACTAAAGACTGAAAAGTCTCCCAGAGAAAGCCCCAGCAGGACACTTCATCCTACCACCTGCTCCCCATCCCGAGGGTTACCTTGTACAATTTCTCCAGAAGCTTGAGAGCTGCAGTCATGTAATTATTAAACAGGACAGGGATTAGGAATGTCTTCCTTCCCCTTAGCAGGTAAAGCACCGCGCCTTTATAGAGGTTCACCAGCTTCATGAAATATTTGGGGCATGCCTGAGACCACCAGTTATCTTAAGAAAGAAAGACATGTTTTAGCACATAATCTTGGGCAAGTGTTCTTATGTCTTCTTCCTGCTAGCTAAAACTCCCATGGCTAAAAGATAAATATTAGTCTACAATCCAGGTACCCAAAACTAATTTTTAAAATGAAGCATTAAAACGTGTGGAGAAAACAGCTATATGTGAAGCCCTAGCCCTAAAACTTTTACCTCCTTTCTCTTCCTTTTTTCCCTTCTTCTCTCTCTCCTTCTCTCCCTTGCTGTTTTCTTAAATGTTTTTATGTTTTCTTTTTTAAACTCATGCTGAAGGCTAACCTGAAAAAGTTCAGTTCCAAGGCTGTGTGGGGACCAGACGCATACTCTGGGCACAAGGATGTTGACTACGCCTACTGCAGTAGTATTTGTGTGCCCTGGTCCTTTTAGCATCGTCCTCAGCCACTATGCACGCTTTGTATCAGGGATGGAAGGGACACTTCCTCCTAAGAGAGGAGGAGGAAAACCATTCTTTCCTGTTATGAGACATATTTCAGGTTTAAGAAATCGATCAATTATATTCTCTCCAAGTGGTACTTTCTCATAACTAGGCAGGATTATTTCACTGGATTCTTCAGAAATAAACTCAACCATACTGAAATCCGTAAAGTTTACTTAGTCAAAATATTTCATTAAAAATGAATGTGGGAGGGCTGCTGGAGAGGTGGCTTAATAGAGCACTGACTGTTCTTCCTGAGATCCCAAGTTTTATTCTGCAGCTCACAACTATCTGAAACTCAGTTCCAGGGCATCTGATGCCCTCTTCTGGCCTCCATGGCAACAGGCACATACATGGTACACTGGTATACATGCAAACAAAATATTCATACACATAAAATAAAGTTCAAAAAAAATTAAAGTGGGCAAAGAATCAGATAAAAAGGACAAACTATTGCCACCTGTATGTTTGTGTGACAGGTATCTGTTGTGCTCGATCTACTTTGAGGTTTTCTCTTAAATGCAAACTGTCAGAAGTTAGAAAGAAGTTAACAGAATAATTCTGTTCTACTTTGTGTTAACGGGCCTAGAAAAAAATTAAAATGCCAAAACTCAAAAAGTCTGATAAAATGTCTTTAAAAACTGCCATCAAACTATTTTACACCTAATAGAAACACCTAAGAAAATATGCTCTGAAAGCGCCTGATCTTGGAAAGTATTAAGTACTAAAGCACTACTAATGTGTTCATTTTTACTTCCAGTTTTGTCTCTTGTGTGAAAGTGGATGCAGTGCAAAAGCTAGAAGCAGGGTCAATTCGCTTGAGGGAAAACCATATTCCAGTGATACTCTGGCCATCTGAACCACAGAAGTTACCAAGCCGCAACAAACACCTGGAAAAATTACCAAGGGAGGGAAAAAAAGTAAAAAGCCAGGTGACAGGTTTCTGCACCGGATTACTAAAAACGTCTCGGGCGCTACTCCAGCAGAGACCCTCTCCAGCCCGCTGAGGAACGGAAGGTTCTTATCTCAGCAAAGTGTCCGGAGCCTGCAAAAATCAGTGTGGACTCAACTGTCCTAAAAAAGAAAAACAAAACAAACATTCTGTAAGTCCTCACTAGGTCACTCTCTGTCTCTCCTTTCTTGGAGATCACTGTATCACAAAAGCTGTTCATTTGGCTCCCACCCCCTAAAGTCAGAACTGGAGATGAATAGGCAGACGGCCACTAATATTTGAGGCATTACAACTGCAAGCAGATGTGGGGGAAAATAAAGCTGAATAGCCTAACTTTATGAATATCTCAAAATTGGGATTAATCTGTCATAAATCATTTCAAGTGAGTTAAATAAGAGTCCACATTGCAAACAGGGTTAGCTAGAAATCAGCAGCAAAGAGAGGATTAAATGGTAAAGCTATTAAATGGCAACAAATGGATTGTTAGACCTCAGTCTACAAGAGCTGGCTGACAAAACAAAATAAGTCCAAAACCAGTGGTGTTCTGTTTGCTGAATTTACCTAATACTTTGCTGGGGTTTGCATCCAGCCGCAGAATGGCCATCGCCAGGGGAATGGTCATGGTTATGTAATACCTAGAATCCTGAAGCAGGGGAAACTCTGGGAGTATTAAATAGATTCTCATTGCTTCCACATCTGGGGGTGAACTTGACAACTGGGGAATGAGGCAACTTTCAAAGCTGTTTAATATCTATAAGAGAAAAAAAAAAGTAGTGAGAAATTTAAACATATCTGAGGCTTAAATAACTCATCTCCAAATCCACAAGTTATCTGATGAACTCGCAACTCTTGCTCAGTGTGTGCTGAACAAACAGAAGGGGCGAGGTGCTGGTTCAGACTCCTAGCACATGGGGAGAAGTAAGAAGCTCCCCACCCACAAAGACCTGATACTTTAGAGAGGCAATTCCTTAAAAAGATATAAACAAAAGATAGCCCAACTCCAACACTAATATTTTTACAAAATTAATACTTGTACAGAAGTCTATCTGTTTCATCTTGCTGTACCTTTTGTCTTAAAAGCTGAATTATTCAATGTAAACCAAGTTTTATAAATACACACAACATACCTGCTCTAGAATCATGGAGTGCTGAGAGTGCATTAACTTCTCAAATAAAACCCTAGTTGAGTTCAGGTCAATCCCAGGGATTTTGGGACTGGTTTTAAAATGTTCATCGATTCTAAACAAGAAACAAACAAAAATCTGTATGTAATAAAAGAAAAGAAAAGGCAAACCCTGGTAAAGACTGTAAGTCATTAATTAGCTTACTCATTCCAGGCAGATTTTAATTTGACCTAGTAGATAAGATATTCAAGAACACTAATTTGGGAGAGACCAACAGAATAAGCCTTACAGCAATTCCACCCCACCCCACTTTGGTTATTTCATTTTGTTCTGAGGAAGGGTCTTACTAGGTAGCCCCTGTCAGCCTAGAAGTCTCTATGTAGACAAAGTTAGCCTTGAATACAGAGATAAACCTGCCTCTGCCTCCTAAGCGCTGGAGGCAATTCCACATTTAAAGGTGCCTTAAATTTTTCAAATCTTTCCCCCCTCAAGGCAGAGTACAAACACTATCATTTCAGGTCAGGCCTTTCACAAAGCATGAAAACAGGTCTATTCCCTGACCCACTTCTATGATTATTTTTATTAGATGAAGATGTTGTGGCTGTGGCAATCACCCATCCACACTTCCCTTATGCAAAGGTGCCCACTCTTAAACATATAGAACACAGACCCTCCTATTCTAAGCCTTCCTCAAAACGTATTTTGCATTCATCTTCCAAGGATTTTACAGCAACCATCTGAACTTTATAACAATCAAATCACTTTTCCAACTCCACAGTCTTAACTCCCCAGACACAAAGAATATCTCTAAGATTCTCACTCTTGAATATATTGTATCTATTAATTTACAAAATATTCATTTGAAAAGCAGGCTTTGCTCTGAGTAGTGTACATTCATGTGGTTTTAATAATCTCCGACAATGTTAGAATAGATGAAAACTTGGAATGTCTACATTTCAGTACCTATATTGGAATCAAAATAGTTAAACACAGAGCAGCTGCTTAGACTTTCTTGATGGGCATTTTGTTGCTATTCTAAAAATGAGTTAACTAAGACATTAATTCTAATAACCTAAATATAACCTTGAACAAAGGTGGAAGGACTTTTTCCTATGTTGTTAAGAAAAAATATAAATGAAAGAGGATTCCCTTTCTCCACATTCTCTCTAGGATTAGCTGTTAGTTCTTTTCCTAATTTCTGTTATTCTGACCTTAGTAAAATATCTCAGTCATTTTAATTTGCATTTCCCTAATTGTTAAAGATGTTGAATAATTATAAAGATATTTCTTAGTCATTTTTCTTCTAACTTTGGAGAACTCTATTTAGATGGATAAGGTACTTTTTAATTGGCTTGTTTGCTTGACTTTTTAAGTTCTTTGTACATTCTTGATATTAATCCTTTACTAGATGTATAGCTGGCAAAGACTCTCCTATACCCTTCACCTGGCTGATAACCCCTTAGCTGCAAAGAAGAAGCTTCCTAGTTTTATGAGGTTTCATTTATCAATTGCTGGCCTCAATTCCTGAACACATGGAGTCTTGTTCAAAAAGTCCTTTCTCAGACATGTTTATTACAGAGTACAAACTGTTTTTTTCTAGCAATTAGATTTTGGGTTTCACACTGAGTTCACTGATCATTTGGAGTGGATTTCAGTGCAGGATGATAGATAAGGGTCTAGTTTCATTCTTCTATATGTGGGCATTCAATTTTACCATCAACATTTGTTGAAGATGCTGTCTTTTCTCTTGTGGATGTTTTGGGTAATTTTGTCAGATACAATTATATTGAATGTCTAGCACTAAAGATACATAGCGTTATATATCTGGCCACAACCATCCCTAGCCTTCATAAAACGTATTCTTTAGAACAGAATTCCTCTTTGAGGCCCTGATAAGCTTTTCTTGGCAGGCCAGACTGGAGGAGGTTCACCTGCATCTCTGGACCACTAGAAACAAAATCACATGCCCCACCCCGCCATGCTGCAATAACAACAACAACAACAACAACAACAAAAAATGCTAGGAAACAGTGCAAAGCCACCATGGGCCGAAACCGCTGTTGCTGCAACATCACCACACTGGTACTACCCAGATCACCTTTCCCTCCAGAGGAAGGCAGTGACTACATACAGAATGGAGTGGTTTGACTTTAGCTGCCCTAGGAAACAAAGAAATACCTTTGTAACCTCTAACTAACCAGAGGTTCTAAAGAATGAAGAGAAGTTCCTAGAATGAAGCCCCTACAGAGGCTCCTTGACTGACTAGAAATTCAGTGATGTAGATAAGCTGAAATGTTACAAGTCCAGAGCCATATATTGCTTGAGCTATTTTTAGCCCTCTACATAGCCATATATTGCTCATCTCTGTTAGTTAACATAATTGTGACTATTAATTAGGCATAAACAGACCCCCAAAAGCTAAGAATGCAGTCAGATGCCATCAAAGGCCTAGATAAGAGGTTATCCCTGATGTACTCACCAATGCATTTAAAAACTACACTGATTTATGGCTTTCTCTGTTTTTTTTTTTTTTTTTTAATTTTTGTTTTGGTTTTTTGTTTGGTTGGTTGTTTTCTTTTGAACTGTAAAAACTTAATGAAACTCCTGTCACACTGGAATACAGAACTTAGGATGACCAAAATCTGTGCTCCTAGGCCATGATCCGTCAGTCACACTTAGCTCCAGAATAAATAACTTCTCAATGACCTTTTATCCCCTGTGAGACGAGAGCTACATTTCTTTCTTGAAGAGAAACCACTTGCAACAAAGTCAAAAGTAAATGTGATGCCTTATTTTAGGTATCAACATGACTCAATAAAGGAATATCTGAACAGCTGCTGGAGCCTCATCTGTAAGTGTGCTCAGACGTGCTCCTAGGTGAGGCTAGCATTAGAATAAGTGCTCAACCAATGTGGACAGGTACCACCCAACTGTCTCAGGGTCCAAACAAAGGCAAAGGAGGGACAGCAGTGTGCTGTTCTCAGACTCAAACCCTGGGTTCTCTACTTCTGCCCTGTAGAACTGGAAGTGACAGGGTGCTTCCCCACTTCCCCAAGTTGAGAAGAGAAAAGGTGCACAAATCAATCCTTACAATAGACCCGCTAGCTGGATCAATGTACTTCCTATTCCAGTACTGAAGCTAGAGCTTCCTCCATGGTAAGGAAGCATGACCCTGAGCCTGATGCATCAGGCTCCATCCTGATGCAGTCCCTTGAAGGAGTCTGACTACAGACTTCTGGGTAAAATGGAGAACTAAAACCAGCCAGGATCTAGTGGCTGATTACCACTCCATCTGCTACTTCTCCAGCCCTGGATTGACTTGATGCACATCCTAACAAGCCTCTTTTTTGGACTCACAAACTTTCTCTACTATCAAGCTGGGATTATGTTTATGACTACAGCCAGATCCACAAAAAATTGTTCTAGGTGGAATTTTGTAGAAGGGATTCCCAGAATCTGCTGCCAGAACCAACAACCAGTACTCCAACAGGGAATGGTTAAGCTGAGAGACATCCAAGGACACCACTGGATACTAATAGAAATGATTAACAGTTTCGGCAAAATAGCAGTTACAAAATTAATAACAAAATCAATTGCCATTCTATATTCCAAAGAAAAACACAGTGAGAAAGAAAACAGGGAAACAATTCTATCTACAATAGCCTCAAGCAAAGGAAGAAGAAAAAAGGATATCAAAAATATACATTGAAGAAAAGATAGCATCTGTAACAAATGGTGCTAGGGAAACTGAGTATCTACATGTAGAAAAATAAAATTTGATTTTATCCCATACTGTGCATACAAATTGATTCCAAATGGGTCAAGATCTCAGTGTTATACCCAAAGCTCTGAAGGGTTTAGAGGAAACAGTAGGGAGTACATGCCAGGATATAGGCTCAGGTAAGGACTTTCTGAATAGGACCAGTGGTTCAGGAAATAGTACCAAGAATCAACAAGTGGGACTTCATGGCATTAAAAAGCTTCCATACTGCAAAGGAAACTGTTAAGAGGTAGCTTAAAGAATGAGGAAAATAGATATTTTCCTCATTTCAATTTCCTCACTTACATCTATATATCTAAATGTAAATTTCCTCATTACAATCTAGATTCCTCATTACAATCTATACATCTAACAGAAAGTATCTAGAATAAATAAAGAACTGAAAAAATATAAATGCCAAGAAAATAAAGAAATCATTTTTTAAAAAATGAGCTATGGGATAGAATACAGAATTCTCAAAAGAAGAAACAGAAATGGCTAAGAACTAGTAAATGAAGTGATTAACTTCTTTAAGCAATCTGAAAAAAATGTAAGTTGAGATTTTATTTTACACTAGTCAGAATGACTAAGACCAAAATAACAAATGCTGGAAAGTACATTCTAGGGTGTAGGGAAAAGTGCCCTATGCATTGCTGGTAAGGTGGAAACCGGTGTTGCCACTGGTATGGACGGTCCTCAAAGAGCTAGATGCAGATCTACCATGCGATTCAGTTATAGCACTTCTAGGCATATACCCAAAGGATTCCATATCCTATTATAAAGATACCTACTCATCCATATTTGGAGTGGGAAGACCCACGCCAATATGGATCATGTGAGCTCAACAGAGCCATTCTAAATCTGGGCCACACCCTCTGGTGGCAGCCCACATAAAAGCTTTTGCCTTTTGCCCTGACTTTCCAGGACAAGTTCATTTGTCCTGTTGCTGAGGCATTCCCTCACTGGTATTTAAGTCTACTTCAGGTTTCTAGCATAAACCAAAAACCAACTGAGCTATCCAGCCACATGGACGGAGAAATTACTGAATTCTGAATTCTTGGCCTTTCTGTGGGGAGACAGCCATTGCTGGGTTAGCTAGCCAGACCACAAATAATATATATATATCCAGAAAACTCAGTACAACACAGGTGATATGAAGAAAAAAACCAGAGCAATGGGGATGGAAGTTAAAGTAGGGAAGGTTATAGAAATGCAAAGGAGGGGTGAAAGGAGGGATAATTAACACTAAGGATATTTGAAAGAGACATATAAATTTATTAAGTAAATTTATGCACATACACACTCACACACAAGTTTAATTGAAGTTAACCCTATGGGGAAAATAACATTCCTTCCTCCAAGAAGGCTCATGTTGCCAAGTAAAAGAGTCCAATGGCAGAAGTGGGTTGCCTGTCTCTAACTGTTGCTCAACTGTGTCTTAGAGATCCCTTCTCCCCATCAAGGCAGACTATTGCCATTGTCATTGGTTGTCTACTAGAACTTGATGGATAAGACTCACTTTGGTCACAGGACTTGCAGAAATCAATCTGGCAGTGAACCTCCTTCCCACTGCTAGATTTCTTCGTGCTTATGCAGACAGCTATCAGGGAAAAGTAACTAATAGTCGTTCCCAGCTATAAACAATATAAACTGCAATAATGATTAGCCTGTCAAGCTATTCCCATGGAAGTAACAGTGACACCGATGTTACAAGGGTAATCAAATGGCTTTTTTGATTGAATTGAAGGCACATTCCACAGGAAGAAACACATGCCTTCACTGGGAAGCTGACAGGTGAACCTATTAGTACTGTTGCACTACATGGACAGAGTATTAAACTGCCCTATAAATTCCCATCTCTATACCCATAGACCACTGCGGCTCTCAGACCTCAGGAGATAAGCTTCTTCATGCAATAGCTGACAGTCAATATAGAAACTCACAAACTGATAAAGTGCACAGAGTTAGTATCTGAGGCATGCTCAGCTATAGATGGAACATCTGTATTACATCTTCTTTCCCCCAAAGTTCAGAGAACAATGCAGAGGAGTCAGAAAAGTTTTTAATGCCAGAGCTCAAGAAGTCTAAGGAAAAAGTATCTTCTGAACACGACAGAGCTACTATAGCTATAAGCTCACGGCAGGTGTGGTTTGCCTGCGTAATCTCAAGCCAGTCAGCATTCCAGTATGAAATGGGGATTGACTCACGACTCCCCATCCTAGCTCAAATGCTACTGTCAGTTGATTACTATTAGAAGAGAGAGATTTTTTTTCTTTAAAGGTGTGCTGCTTTGAACAGGTATGGCTCCCATAGACTCATGTGTTTGAAGGCTTGGCCCATAGGGAGTGGCACTATTAGGAGATGTGAGCTTGCTGGAGTAGGTGTGGCCTTGTTGGAGGATGTATGTCACTGTGCCATGCTCACGTTATGCCCAGTGACACAGTCTCCTTCTGCTGACTTTGGATCAAAATGTAGAATTCTGGGCTCCTCCAGCACTGTGTCTGCCTGAACGCTGACACGCTTCCTGCCATGATTATAATGGACTAAACCTCTGAAACTGACAGCCAGCCTCAATTAAACATTTTCCTTGATAAGAGTTGCCTTGGACATGATATCTCTTCAGAGCAATGAAACCCCTAAGACAAATGGTGAGGTCCCTGGCAGCTCAACTGACTCCTGTTCAAGGGTATGTCCCCATCCCCATGTGTACATGGGCAGCACATACTCCCCGAGTAAGAGAAAGAGTAGTAGGGTAGATGTGGAAGGAACTGGGGGACACAGAGAAGTTAATATGACCTACACTGTGTACACGTATAAACTTTTCAAAGAACTAATTAAAAAACATTAAAAGAGAATTTTGACTAACCCAAGGGGTGAGAGACTGAGGAAATCACACAAAGAACTAAGGTTTAACTTGTTGCTATACTTAAAATATTCTTTGCTTGCGTGTACTAGCATATACATGGTGCTCTTTTACATAGGGACATTTCCATACAAGTATACGCTTCACATTGAGCTCCTGCTTCACCCTTACCCACTCCTGCGAGACTTCCTAATGGCTATACATTGCACTTTGAATGTCTGCTTAATGGCATGTGCAGAAGTGCAGAGGGCATGGACCTCCACCTGCAGCATCACTGTGAGATGGCAAAGCATTTAGGAGGTGAGATATCATGTTTGTACCCTTCAATATTGCACCTCCACCCTTTCCTATCTCTTTGACAGCCAACATAGGTGAGGAACTTCTATGTGGAATCTTCTTCTATCATGATGATTTCCTCACTCCTGGTCCAAAAGAAATGTGGCCACCTCACCATGGGCTGAAAATGCTGAAAACACACCTAACGTAAGACCATTCTGCTGCATGAGGTTCCTGAGGGCCATCTGCAGAAGAGAAAAGAAAGGCCTATTTGCTGCCTCTGATTTCAGCCAGAGTTGAGCCCCAGGATGAAGCCTCCCTAACACCTCTACATGAGCTCATTCCTTTTACAAAACGAAAATTCCCTCAGCAAACTACAGAAACCAGGAGTTGGTTGAGAATTTTGAGTTTAAGAGCATGAGCATAGGTGAAGAGCAGCACTTTCGGACAGGCTGCAGTTCTGGCTTAGACCTGTCTGCCAATCAGGAGTGAACACACACCAGCACGCAGGGGTCAGCATTACTGGAACTTTCATTTTCATGCAAATGTCAGCTTTTCCCTTCAATGAGCATTTATATCACACACGGGTTTCTGAAGCCTCTAGGACACTTACTTTTTTTCCAGAAAACTTCCATTCCAACAAGCTGCAGAAGACAGTATCTGAACAACACCACTATTCAAGACAGAAAAGGAGAAAGGAATCCTTAAAACTTACAAATCAGCACTTCTATAAGCTTCAGCAGCAAGCCAGTCATCTGTCTAGCCAGCCTTTAGGTCATTGGGGCACTTTCTTTCCTCTAGCAGGTGCATACCTGGTTCAGAGAAAAATGTTTCACCTCCAAATGGATAAGAACACGTTTGTTTGTTGTTTTTTTATGTGTCAAAAATCATGAAAAAAAATCCCTTTTAACAAAAAGCTTGGGCATTCTCTTATCATTTCTTACCTTAAAAGTAAGCTATTTATTTAATAACATAAGTTAATAAATGCCCAATCGTGTCTTCCTAGTCTATTGGCCATCTGAGAAAGAAACTAAAAATGAGTGGAAATGAAGACTGCTTCCTATCATGTAAATTCTGCAGATTCTGCAGAAGCACCTAATCATGAGGATCCAGGATTGCCATGAAAGACAAGGAATAAAACAGGCAAATGGCTAGGAAGGAGAGACCATGGTAGTAATTTGTGTCAGCTGTAGAATTTGGATCAGGTGAAACTTTGGGAGGTGATACCCTCTATCTAGCTTTGGTTTTTAAGTAAGAAAATAGAAGTCCCGGTAAAGTTCATGCTCACAGTTCGCCTGCCACTCAGCAGCCTGGTCTCTCTTACTCTCCTCCCCCTCCAGCCTCAGCTCCTTAGCAGTGCCCACCAGGCAAGGAGATTCTGTGGGATGCTGCAGGGTGGGGCCTGGGCATTGGCGCCAGCAGTTTGGATCATAAAGCCAAGACCCACTTTGCATTTCCTAAGATAGCTGTCTTTGTTACACAGATTTATTTATTTGTTTTCATAAATGAGACTACAGAAAAAAACATGAAATGCTAATTAACGTCAACAAAGATGTGTAGAAATGTACAGAAAACTATTTTTCAAACTCAATAAAAGTCTCACTTTTTTATTGTACTTTTTCCCAGAAAACTCTGAACTATCATTTCAACTAATCACACTGAATGAGAAAACTGTAGAAGTTACTCAAATTAGTTAAAATGAAAAGTTGTTAAGATTCAAGATTCCTTGAAACATCAGTGTGAAGAAAACCATTTCTATATGCAACAAAATACAGAGAGCTCTCAGAAGAGATAGCAACTCAGGCCTTCCTCCATGGGATTTCATAGATCTTGCAATGATAAGTCAAGATAAAAAGTGAAAATTGCAGCACCAATCACTGTGTTATTTGGGGCTAAAGAAATGACACTCTGATAAATGTACAAAAATTATTTCATAAATGCAAAACTCTATTTAGATTCCCAGTCTCAGTGTAGACAGGGCCGAGAATTACCAGCCACTAAACTAGAAAACTCTGGAATGCTTTGGAAGAAGCAGAAGACAACCACATACTTGATTGTATTTGCATTGTTGTGTTCTGAGAGTTTTTGCCTCCAAACTGCTATGGTTTCATCATTTATTAAGTTGGTATAATGTGCTTGGTTCACAGTCCTGAAGTCAACAGCAGGAGAAGAATTCTGGAGAAATAAACACAAGAAAAAAGAGAAACAATAGACATGGCTCTTCTCTCCTTTCCTACCCCAGTGTGGTCTCCACATCGCACTTCACAACCTGAAGGCGCTGGTGGCTTCCCAGAGCCTCTCTCTTGGAGCAAAGACCCGTCCCCATTCCAATGGCTAGGAGGGCAGGCTGCTCTTGAGGATCTTCCCTAGGCCATTGCTCCACTTCATTATACTCAGTGGCAGATAACTATGATACCAAAGCTCAGATCCCTTGCCTCAACTTCAGGGCACTACACCAGACTGGATGAGGCCTCTTCTGCAAGTGACCAAAGTTCAGCATCAGTCTGTCCCCGTCCCCTTCACCCCTGAATGGGTGTTCTTCTAGAGATTCTGTTTCAACTCAAAGACAAGTTTTCTAGGTCATTTTCCCCTTGCTCTGAGTCACCACACCATACAGTTATTGGTCTCTTGACATAACTGTTCCCTCAGTTCCAATAAAATGTAGTAAATAAAAAATGTTTAAGTCAGACATGATGCCTGTAATCCCAGCACTTAGGATGTGAGGAGAAGGAGGAGAATCAACAGTTCAAGATATGTAGTGAATTTTCAAGGCTAGCCTGGGCTACGTAAAACTTCATTTTAATAAGTTGAAGGAAGAAAAGCAGAATTTAGTTATAGTAAGCAACTCCTGAAAATTCAGAGTCACATGACTTTTTCTCAACTGTTTGTGTGTGCTGTGCATGCCTTTAGGGGTGTACTTTCACATGTGTAGATATAAGAATGTGTGCAAGCTGTGCACACGTGTGCGTGTACAAGCATGTGTTGGCCAGAGGTTGTCTCGGTCACTCTTCCTTGATCACTCTCAACCTTCTTCCTTGAAACAAGGTCTCTCAACCCTAGAGCTCACCACATGGCTACTCTGGCTAGCCAGCTAGCTCTGTCTCCACCTCCCAAGATGGGATTAATGCCACACCCACCTTTTTTTACAAGGATTCTGGGGATCTGGACTCTTGTCCACACACTTTGCAGGGCAAGCATTTTCACGAATGAGCCATTGCCTCAGCCCCAGTGACTCTTAATTTCTTAATAATGGCTTTGGAAATTACAAATACTGTCCACACTACACACCCTTTCTTTAGTGATACATATTTTTAGGGACTTTTTTATGTAAATAAGTTTTGCCAGCATGTGTATCTCTGTACCACTTGCACGCCTGGTGCCACAGAGATTAGAAGGCAATAGATCACGAGAAACTAGAGTTGCAGATAGCTCTAAGTCCCTATGTAGATGCTTAAAATTGATCCTGGGTCCTCCAGAAAAGTAGCCAATGAATGTTCTTAACCACTAAGCCATCCCTTCAACCCAACCCAGCATTTTAAATTTATAATGATTCATTACATTTTTGTGTGTGCAAGGTTGTGTTTGTCTGTGTGCGCATGCACACATGGGCAGGAGTGGACGAGTGCACAATGGTACATGTGTGAGGGTGAGAGACAACTTACAGGAGTTGGTTTTCCATCCACCATGTTGATTTCAGAGCTCTCAGGCTGCCCTCTTAGTGGCAGCACCTGTATTCTATGAGAGCTGTCTTGCCAACCCATTTAGTGATATTTTTAAAGAATCATTATAATTACTTTTATTGTCTAAACCTGCATGTTTTCAACTTTTTTTCTCCAACACCCATTTCTCATCCAGAACTATGAAAAGTTGACAGTATGCCTCTTAAAAGGAAAAGTAATATTCAAGCAGTCAGCCATAAATTCATAGAAAAATCATTGTTCTCTCCTTTGTACTTGCATCTAAGATATAGCTTTCAAAGGAAGCTTGCTGGTTTCATTCTACAGTTGTGAGTTAGCATTATGTAGAGAAAGAAAAGTGCCCATAACACACATATCACCTGGTTCTTGATAACTATTCTACAAAAATGACTACACAAACATATTCTAAAAGAACAAATAGAACACTGAACTATATTAAAGAAACTCTTTTTTTTTAAAAAAACATAATTTAAAGACAGAATTTATTCTCTGATGGTTTAGTCATGCAAACTGTACATAAAAAAAAATAGTACAGTTTGTGTAACATTGCAAATATAAAGATTCAAAATGCTAGGTACAGAAGTAGTATGACATCCTGGAATTCAAAATGTATTTCTTTGTGTGTATGTTTATACAACTAATAATGATTTTTATTTGCTGAGTACAGACTGATTTACAATGAGAGCTTTGTCAATCATGGTAAGTTCATTAACCATTACATGACTTCTCACATCTATGTACTTCCACTTTACAGTTGCAAGAATCTGTTACCAAAGAACCAAAGCTTGCACAAATTGGAAGATGAAAAAAAAAAATGTCAAGAGAGTGCAGAAAGTGAGACATGGAGGCTTTGACCAACCTAATCCATCTACAACAAAAAGAGCTTGTCTGGAGAATTCATGTTTTGTGCCTTTGAGACCAACTCCTTAGCATAACTATGACAAAAGCATGATTAAAACTGATTACTTTAAGTATGAGATCAGGTCAAAGTAATAGACACAAGTAGAATCAGCAACCAAAATGCACTCATTTTTAATAAGCCAAGTAATAAAATTCCTATTATCTTCATACTTACAAGTCCTAAAGTGTCATTTATATAATTTCTGTGTTTCCTAGTCTGGAACTGAGGCAAGTAGGATGGGCATTCCCCTGAACTCTTAAGGGGACTCCACACAGGTAAAGAAACTCTTAAGCCAGCATAGACAACTTAAACACACACTTAGATACCTTTTCCCATCTTGGCTTTAAAGTACTATACTGAACAGCAACAATAATACAAACTTACATAAATTCATGTAGGTTTCAAACTCATTCTTCATCATCTATTCAATAACCCATAGATATAAGGAAAAGCCTAATTTTCCCCTCTGTGGGTGAGCACCTCCCACATGCTAGAAGCATTGAATCACTGAGTTCTACTCCCCGAACTCCACACTTGCTGGCTATATATAGGATAAGAAGAAAAATACTTCACTAGGTCAGTGCTTGTCGAATGTGGCTGGGTTTTAGACTACCAAGGGAACCATGAAAAAGCCCAATGGCCAACATACATTCCAGGCCAATTGCCAATGTGTATCCTAGGGCAATTTAGTTAGAATTGCCAGCAGCAGGTCTACTTTATACACCCATCAGGTGACTCTAATGTATAACCAAAGTTAGGAATCACCATAGCACTGTTTAGTTTCACTCACACACATACACACAGAGAGAAGGGGCAGAGGAAGAAAGACAGAGAGAGACAGAGAATGAGAATTATAGCTAACAGGCTTGAGGAAAACACATACACATTCTAACCACATTCCCTTTTCAGCCTGAGAACAAGAGAAAAGGAAGGGTGAGGCTGAGATTACACTCAGTACATCTAGACTACAATGGAATATTCGAGTACAAGGGAATAATCAAAGCTGAAAGCTTCAAATTCAAAATTGATATGACACCAGAGGTGGAAAACCTCACAGCAGGGAGCTTTGTTCATACACATAATAATCTAAGATGTCCTCGTACACACCTAAACAGTGTGTTTGAGTTGTAGTATGTTTCATGTTGCTGCAAACAGTGACTGAAGGTGTCATGTAACATACCTCCGGCGTGTTTGCATTCTAGTGAGTTTCATGTTCACAGTGATTTAAGATGTTATATGGCATTACCTCCTTGAAGTATTGGAGTTGCCATGAGTTTCTGTATAGACTTGGGATCCATTTCCAAGATACCCTATATGTATGTAAATATTTCAAAAACCAAAAGAACTTACGACATTATTTTTCTGGCTGCGACGTCACACATTACAGTAGTGATAAAGTAACTAGGTGAGCATATCATTTTCAATTTCTGTATCTAACAAGTATCTAGTGTGTGTGAGAGAGATAACATGTAAATACGTACAGCTTTATACTTGAAAAAACAGTTGTGTCCCAGTGGCAAGGACAGCAGTCTGGAGCCTGAGACAAAGGGCAGTCAGGAGATCCCAGCTACCTTCTCAAAGTGGTGGGGAGGAACGTTCCACTGTGAACGTAAAACTTTAATGGGGGATACCTCTCACCAGTTGAAACTTTAACTTACCAGCTAACTAACACTATCGTATACCTTACTTCCTTTTATCAGTGGGTTGTTTTCCATACCCAACTCAATATATTTAAAACTCAACTACACAGATCATACTGTATATTTATTAAAGGAAGAAAATTTAAGGTTTATGTTTAATTCTCAAAAAAAAAAAAAAAAAAGCTGGATACTATTTAAGTCAGTTTCTCAGGCAGTGATGGTACATGCCTTTAATCCCAGTACTTGGGAGGCAAAGGTAGGAGGATCTCTGAGTTTGAGGCCAGCCTGGTCTACAAAGAATGTTCCAAGAAAGCCAGGGTTGAACTCACTGACTGGCTCTCTGATCACCTCCCCTTGATGGAGGGAGCAGCCTTACCAAGCCACAGAGGAAGACAATGAAGCCAGTACTGATGAGACCTGATAGGTTAGGGTCAAAGGACTTGGTGGACTTGGGGAGGGGCATGGGAGGAGATGAAGGAAGAGGATGGGATTGGGAGGGGCTACAGCTGGGATACAAAGTGAATAAACTGTAATTAATAAAAATAAATAAAATTTAAAAATTTAACTTTTACTACAAACTCTAAAAAAAAAACAACTTAAGTCCGTTTCTTTCAGAAATTAATTCTTTTTTATATAATATAATTTTATTTATATAATTTATAATATAACATATTTATAAAAATTCATAAATAAAATAAAAATATTACTTTAAAATAAAACCAAGTGAATTGATTTTAATGAGTTAAAATGGACCCAGGAGGTTCTTTTTCAATAAAATATGTTAGAGAAAAGAGACTACCAATCTGCTAGTCCACAAGTTTAATAAACTCACTATACTGGCCAGAGTTATAGAAAAAGAAAGAATACATTTTTTATCATGTCATATAACTTACTAAACATAAGAAGTTAAGCCCTATCCACTCTGCATATTTACAAATCTCCACACTTTTGCTGATCAGAAATTAATTCTTACAAGTCTACTACTTGAGAAGAAAAAAGTGACTGATGAGGTCCTGTGCTCTTAGCTTTTAGCATTTACACTAATGACATAAGCTCAGCTTCCTTCAGCATTTCTCTGTAAAGTTATGAAGCTGAAGCCAACACATGTCTAAGGCAGCCATTCTACATCACCCTAAGATGGTAGTAAAGAGGACAGGACTTAAGGTCGGCAGTGTCAGGGCAATGGAGAGGTTTTCCCAGTTGAAAGGGCCTTTGTTTCCACAGGTGCTGTTTTCTTCCCACCAAAGTCTACTGCTTTTCCAATTATCTCCTTGAGTTTGCCCCCGGCCCCCACAGAGCTTGTTAAATAGAAGTAGAAGTGTGAGAAAGATAAAAGAAGATAACTGTAGCATTCTTCAGTTGACTGCCCTTGGCCATGAAGAGAAGGATGAATTAAATAAATGCCAGGGATTCTTGTCAGACCCTGAATATGCTATGGTCTCCTTTCCCCTTCCTGTTCTCCTCTCCCATTCCCCTTCTCCTTTCCCCTTCCCCTTTCTTTTCCTTTTTACTTTTTTTCCTTTTCTTTTCCTTTTTTTTCTTTCCTTTCCCTTCCCTTTCCTGTCCCTTTCCCTTTCCCTTCCCTTTCCCATCCCTTTCCCTTTCCCTTCCCTTTCCCTTCCCCTCCCCTCCCCTCCCCTCCCCTTCCCTTAGACAGGGCCTCAAGTAGCTCAGGCTAGCCCAAACTGGCCATGTAGGCAAAGATAACCATAAACGGCTGTCTCTACCAGGCAAGTACTAGGGATCCAGGTGTGCACCGCCATACCCATGTATGGCACTTATTCTTGGTGGCGTATTTGGTACAGTGATGCGGGAGCAAGAGAAGGGAAATCTCAATGTGACATCATGGCCAGGTGATAAATAAAAATCTGAACTTTTTTGTATCTCTCTTATATATTTATTATACACTTAGTCACATCAAACAATGAAACCCAGTATGTTATCAAACACCTAAAATTCATTGGTACTTAATAGTGAAGAAACATAAAAATAGTAATATAAATGCTCTAAGTCTCTTTAAATTTTTTAGAACAATTATGAATATAAATAATTAATTTTGCATGATAAATTAGAACTCTATAATGTTAAGAACAGGATAATCATTAGCAATTTAAAGAAGCTAAGTGGAGATAACAGCAAGGTTAAGTTTGTTTAATAAAATAAACTCTGTAAGAACTTTGTAAAGCCACAAAGTTTTTGTGTAACTTTTAACACAAACACTGATTACCATCATTCTACTTTAAACATGATACTCAAAAGAAAATTTTACCTCATATGTGGAGCAAAGTACAAAAGTCTGGTCCCCTCCAGAGAAGATCTGTTTAACGACTCGGTACTTAAAGCGATCTGTCAAAAAGCATTTCAAACAGTGTCAATGGCTGCTCCCCTCCATCCTCTCCTGATGTTGCTTCAGAAGAGCTTATCTGCTTTAATTATGTACAGAAACGAGGCCTTCCTGGTTGACTGCTCAGGATCATTTCTACTTCAGTTAAAAACAAATATATAAAATAGTACCCATACCCTCCCAGGCTGCCTCCCTCACAGACAGCTAACACTGACCTTGTTTCTATTTCTCTTGCTAATTTTGTCATGCCATCGGCCAGAAATCTAAAATGGGCACTACTATAAATTGTCACATATGCTTAACATTCACACATCTGCACGTGGTTCTCTCTATCCCCTTCAGGATGATGCTAGCAATACAAGGACATCTTTCCTAAGTCCCAGGGTGATATCCTATCAAAGGCACACTCTTAAGATCACCTAATTGCTTTTTTTAAAAATTAAAATATAACTACATTATTTCACTTTTTCCCGTTCCTCCCTTGTCCCTACCATGTACCGCTCCTCTCCTCCATTTGAAATTATATCCCCTTTTTAATTGTTACTGTTCACACACACACACAACCTAAATATATAATAACCTTGCCAGTCTATCTGGTGTTACTTGTGTATACACAATTTCAGGGCAGACCTGACTGGTTATCCATGCAACTGCTTTATTTCTCCTAACACCCTTTATATCATAAACTTTACACTTCCAGGTAACAACCCTGCTCCCTCACAGTTCTCTTATCAAACTTAAACCAGCAGCTAGAAGCTCCTCTAGCTGTAAAATTCCTCAGTGCCTTCCCCTGTGGTCTCATATTTCGAAAAAGGGCCATAAGTCCATAGTATAGGACATAGAAATTTGAAATTTTTCTTACTTGAATCATATTTTGTCAAACATATAGACAAACTTAAAACTGCCAGATTGTGATTCAATTACAAAAACCTGGGTTTTCAGATTAAACTTTCTTGACTTGATTATTGTTGTCTGGGAAGAGGAAGGGACGGAGACAAGGATGGTTACATAGCTCAGGCTGGCCTAGAACTTGTGATCCTACAGCATGTCTGTATTACAGGAGTATATCATAACATCCAGTAGTACACTTGCTAAGCAAATGCATTCCAAGTATGCCTAGAGAAAGATAGTTACAAATGACAAAGACTGCATGCTGGTCTTTTGCTTTGGAGAATATTAATGTAAAGAGTCCTGTTTATTTTATATTTTAAGCTTACTCATACATATCTGTCCCATAAGTATTTGCTGAGTGACAGGTTAGCAGCTCTGTGATAAATACTAGGTTTACAAAGATTAGACTATTCATTCTCTGGCCTTAATTTTCTTGGCATCAAAGAAAGAGAGAGATGAACTTGGGAGTCACTGAACCCTTTAATTGTTCCTCTTCCTAATGCCCAAAAAAAGAGACTGAATAAATCTCTTTTCTCTGCTTTTCACAAAACCATACAAATACAGTAAGGAAACTTAAAATTGTTATTTTTAAATCTGTATGAAGCCCTACATTTGTTAATTCAAAGTTAAATTTGGTTATTATACTTCTATTTAATAGCTCCACAGTCCCATTTCTCCCTGTGGATATACAGTTTCAGGATGAGGAAGCTGGTCAGTGTGAAGGACTGCCTTATTCTAATCTCCAATGCAATAAGCGCTCTGATGGCTCGATTTTCTCAAAAGAATGTTTCAAAGAAGTCTCGGCCCATCATCACCAGACACTGGAAGCAGAGCACAAGCACAGGCTTTTGACTGAGGCAGAAACGGGTTCAAATCCTGCCTCTAGAAGGTTTTTTATCTTATGCAAGTGACGGAACCTATGAGGAATCAGTCCTTTGCTTCTGGGGTGATGGCCAATAGCTGTGTGCTTGTTTTTCAGTGCTTACTATATTATTAAGCAACCAATTAAGACTTTAACATTAATTCTCACCACTAACAACAAAAAGATAAACACCACCAAGCGCCTTGATGCCAGCATCTTTGATTGTTCTCTAGGTTCTCAATTGCAGAACTTCATGCAGGATGAATACTCAAATTATTTAATAATAAATATCCAAAAGCACAAAGAAAGAAAATAAATAAACTGTGTTAATTTCCTCTAAAGTAGTTCAAGACAAGTAACAAATACACATTAAAATAATAGTTACGATTACTTAAAAATATAATTCCAATGAAGGTGACTCTTACCAGCTCGAGCTGACAGCTGACCACTGTGGGCAGCCCAGTACCCCTTCACAGGAGATGGGCACTTAACATTACATGTGTGTCCAGTTCCCAGCTGACCTTTAGCTCCACAACCAAATGCATAGATGAGTCCAGAAGAAGGCACAAAGGCTAGGGTGTGCTGTCTGTGGGAAAATAATTAACTCATCAGCATACTAATAAAGATGTACACTCAGTATGGTTTTTTAAAACCTCCACATGAGATCACAGCAATTCCTAAAAGTTCCTGTGATGCTTCTTCATGTTCTTAAGTTTCTTTACAACAGACTCCTAAGTTCTGGCACCTCAGCAGGCATGGCTAACCTGTAACTAAGACCTGTAATGGCTATGAAAGTGGTCCAACATTAAAGCATAAACTGGCTTAAAACATGAGAAGTTTTTCATAATCTGATTTGTGGTTCTCGTGTGTGTTATAATCGCTGGTGTGGGGTCTGTGCACATGTATGTACGTCTGTGCAACTGGGTAGGCCAGAAATAATTTTCTCCTTATATTTTGAAGAAAGTCTCTCATTGAACCTTTTATGAGACAAAAATCTCTTGGTAAACTAGGCTTGGTAAAATGAGCTTAGGGAATATGCCTGTCTCAGCCTCTCACAGCACTGCAGTTACAGATGCATACTACAAGTCTGGCTTTTCATGTGCCTGGTGGGCATCCTAATTTGTGTCCTTGTGCTTGCAGGGCAGGCTTGTAAGTCATTGCACTATCTCACCAGCCCAACCATAGAGTGACAACACTGTATTGTTGTAACGAGGTCGCACATGTGCCTACTGATCCTGGTAAGGAGGGCAACACATGGAAATAGATAAACAACGCAACACATCCTCCCTTTCAGATGAAAGAAAAGCAGAAGCACACAAGCAAGGAACTGTCACATTCCTTCTTCATTTCTCCCTATATTCTGCTACTTACCCTCTATTCCATGGAGGTCTAATGTCCTCCTGTTGGTCTGTTTACCTAAAATTCTTCCTTACCATAATTACTACCTTGTGACTTTCCCTACACAGGTGATCATGCAGTTGATATGTTCTAACGAAAAGCTGTGCATTGTGACACATGCCTACAATCCTGTCAGTTGGGAGGTAAAAGCAGGAGGAAGCCACCACTTCATAGCAATGAGTTTGAGGCCAGCATAGGGCACAAAGACCGGTACTATCAAGGAAAGGAAAGGAAAAGAAAGAAAAAAGGAAAGGAGAAAGTAAAGAAAAGGAAAAAGAAAATGAAAGGGAAGGAAGGAAGAGGGGAAAAGAAAAAGAGGAAGAGGAGGAGAAGGAAACAGCAATAACAAAATATTTCTTTAAATGATAGTGGTTTGCTGAGCCCTCAGGCTTTCCCACTGCCAAATCTTCTGAGTCTCAGTAAGCTCGTGGGGACACTCACCTGCCACAAGCAATCTGAGTTACTTCACTGCCCATTAGCTCCAGAACTCTTCTTGGATTAACTTCATCATTCATGGAGTCATGTCCAAGTTGCCCGCAGGAACCAGCACCAAAAGTAAACACGCCTCCACTCTAACAAGAAACAAGGATCAGGTGACTTTGGTAATGGAGTTTGAGGACTGTCCTGTGAAGCCTATACATAAAATTCCATCTCACCAGTCTGAGTAAGGTATCACATTCACCTGACGACCATCATTATTTCGTGAGAACTTTTATTATGTAGAAAAATAAGGGAATGTAAGACTACAACTTTAGAGAACAAAGTCCACAGTGCTTAGAGAACTGCATACAATTTGAAGACTTTAAAGACTATTTAAAAGTGAGGTGATATAGGGCCAGAGAGTTAGCTCAGCAGTTTAGGAACAACACTTGCTGCTCTTTCAGAGGATCTGAGTTCTGTTCCCAGCACTCACCACCCAAAGCTCACAACCACAGGTAACTCTAGGTCCAGATGATCCAAAAACCTCTTCTGGACTTCATAGGCAACAGGAAGGTACATGGTACAAATATATACACACAGGTAAAGCACTTACACAAAATTAATTTTTTTAAGTGCAATAATGTGTTAGGAGGCAAAAAAGTTTTAGAGAAAAAAGCAGATGAAATGAGAGGATTTTCAGGTTCACTCGCATGTAAGAAACTGATGCTCCATAAACTCCATAATAAAGATTTTAAATTTGTACTTGAATAAATGTTAAGTCTATATACAATAGCAAGTCTTTAATATAAAGAGATTTTCAAGCTAGGCATGGTATTCAAGCCTATAATCCCAGTATTTAGAAAGCAGAAGCAAGAGAAGCAGGAGTTCGAAATCATACTGATACACACTGCATAACATGATGAATACCATCTTGATACATTCGACCCTGTCTCAAAACAACCATTAAAAAGAAAGAAGAAAAGGAAAGAAGGAAGGAAAGGATTAATTTTCATTCTCTCTAGCATGTAAATGTTTTTAGAAGCAATAGAGACTGTCTAATAATTTTAAAATATCAATTAAAATACTATGTTTTATATATTCAAAGGGGTTGTTTTAAAAGAACAAAGGATGGGTATTGTTTTGCATATGTATATATACAACACTTTTATTGAACTATTCTAAATAGTTCAATAGTTATTCTATTGAACTATTTTAAAATGTTACCTAGAGAATATATAAGGTTATCCAAGAGGAAAGCATGGGCAGGCATATTTTCAAAAGAAACCTTCTTTCTATTCCTCCCAAGACAATCAAAACAAAGGTAAAGAGGAAGTTCAAGTCCAAGCATAGTCATTTACCACAGCTACTCTGCAACATCTGAAACTGTCCATCTATGCCTGTCCACAGCCAAGTCCCCCAAGCCCCTCACCTTTGTGAGAACCGCTGTGTGCTCCTCTCCACAACTAATATACACGACTTTCTGTGTCCTCAAAAGCTTCACGTGGCATGGAGACTCCCGATCTGAAATAAATTGAGCATCAGCGTGTCACTACCATTAGCCTTTTAAATGAGATACATACAGCCACCAGCTTCCCAACTCTCATTCACCTCTCTCCCTTCAACTCTACTTGAAAAGTCCATCAAATTTAAGTTTAATTTATTAAAGTCTCAACTCATAATTTCCCTATACTCTCTAAGTCTGTCCACTCCAACCAGGTCATCTTCCCTCATCCCACATATACAACCTTCCGGCCTTCCCTTCATTTCCAACTATGAACAGGGTCATCATCTTCAACCACTACAAAAACTTGACTACTGTTTCTACCTCCAAACAGATCCACCCCTTAATGCACCATAGCTAACTCCAACTAGACCACTCCTCTCCTCAAAACCCTTAGTTTCTTCTTCCATCACTAAGAAAGCGAGTCAGAGTCTTCACTGTGCCTTTTGGGGGTCCTTGGTAGAAATGTCTACACAGCCTCCCTGATCTCCACCTCTGCTTCCCCACCAGTCTTGTAAGTTCCTGTTCGCTTTGACTAGAACAGTCCTCACCAAGTTCTCTATATGTCCCATTTCCTAGCAGGTTTCCTATAAGGCTCTGCTTGAATGATAAACACAAACTTTTTCTAATGCAATGTGACAGACATATTATTTATTTATTGTTTATTATTTGCATCCATCCACTAGAACAAAGTCAATTAAGCCAGATGTCCTGTCCTGTTCACTGCTCTCCCTAGATACCTAGCACCAGACCAGCACACAGCAGGTCCACAAGAAGCATCTGTTATATAACTGAATGTGTTTTTGAACTGAAGAGTGCATACAGAGGCTTACGTACCTTTTTCATCACTGAGCCCTAGCTGCCCTGCATTATTCATTCCCCAGCCAAAAACAGCTCCCGAGAGAGACAGGGCAAAGCTATGAGCCCCTCCTGCAGCCACCTGAGCCAGCGGGATCCCTTCCAAAGACCTCACCCTCTGTGGGCTGGTTTGGGAGGGGAACTCCTTCCCCAGCCCTAGCTGTCCATGGCTGTTCTTTCCCCATGTGAAGAACTGGCCATCTGAAATAACAACAGGACAAGTGATGTTCCAAACAGAAGGATACAGGTTCCATATAATAAGATACTCCTACACCATTCATAGTTGCTCTATATACAGCAAACTCACCCAAAAGAAAGGACAGAGACACCGTGTTTCAAGATTTCCAAAGCCTAAATTAGCATTTGACGACAGAGAAGTAAATTCAAGCCTTAGTGGCCTTTGAAAGCTATCGACACTTATCTAAAAAAGGTTTAAGTAAATTCAGTTCTGAAAAGGCTGGTGACCAGGCTCAGATCTAAGCAAGGTGACCTCATTTCTGACCACAGTAAATCAGGAGCCTCCGGACAGTTTCAGACACTGCAGCTGCTCTGGAATGAAGGCCTGAGCAGGACACACAGCAGGAACAGTATGTCCCTGCTCCACCTTACACTTCTCTCACTCCCACTTTTACTTTTATCTGGAATCCTGGTAACAGAACTATAGCTTTCTGAAACAAAGTCCGTAAATATCTGTGTTCTCAAAGACACCTGGGCACTGTCCTAGCCCTGGTCTCTCTTTTCCACAAAAGATGCAATGATGAATCCTACACCATCCACATCTCAAAGATGCAGATCAAACAGAGTCTGTTAAATAAATGTCACCATTCAGATAATGCTTTCAGTTAGATAACACAGGACTGCAGGAGAAAAATGCTTTTAAAATTAACGTAACATTAGCATATATTTATATAAATTACCAGCTGCCAGAGCCAAGCAGTGCCAGTTACCACAGGAAACTTGTAATATGGTCTGCTGGTTCAGCTTCTGTATTAACCTAAAATAGAAAAGGGTTTTCTTAAGTGTGCATCCACACAGAAACACAATTATCACAAACATTTTCAACTAAACACACTGATTTAAAAAAAAATACCTTGTCTAAAAGACCTTTTAAAACCCAAGCATGTATTTTTTTCTGATAAGAATTCTATTACAGCTTTCATTATGCTGACTCTTAGGAATTTACTGTTTAAAACAAACAAAAATTCTCCTACACTTGGGCCCATTTCTAAAGTCCTTCACCTTGCCATCCTCACTTGAGAAAGTGATTACTGTGACACACAAAATCTTTAGGAGCTCCAAATTATTTACTGTCTTCATCAATGCTAAGGAGTAAACTATGGCTGACAGTGTCCAAGAAGCCACATTTGGGAAGTACAGGTAAAAGGACCAGAAATACAGGGTCAGCTTCTACTACATAGTGAGCTTAATACCAACCTGGGTTAAATGAGACCAGCATCAAAAAAAGAAACGTTATTAAAAATTTTCTGATTATCAGTTCAAGGTAAATTAGTATAAGAGGCAAAAGGGGCACTCTTTTTAGTCAAAACATTTACCAGTTGCTAAGAACTCACTTCTGGACCAGCTCATATGTTTAAAACTTGAGGCAGACAGTTCTACAAAGAATTGCTTTTTGTGTATTACAAGTGTTGTTACCAGGCATATCAATAGAATGAAGAAAGCAGTCAAAATCAAGAATTCTTTGGGTAGCATGCTCACCTGGGCACTGCCACTGAATCCTCAGTAGTCATGAGGCCCAGCTGGCCATCACTTCCTGCACCCCAAGAAAACAGCTGGCCCCGGTCGCTGAGAGCCAGACTGTGAGACTCTCCACAGGCCACATGCACGATATGCTGATCAGCCAATGCTCCAATTTGTTCTGAAAGAGATCAAAACAAAGGAAGAAAAGACACAGCCTTGAACCAGAGATGTTGCTCCCCTTGCCTTAGCAACTTTTCACTGCATGACCAAACCCCTGACTGGGGAAGGGGATGGTTTTGGCACACAGCACAGTGTATCGTAGGAAAGGAGCTAACAGTGTGAATCCTCACATTGTGACACCTAGGAAGAAAGCCTGGCAGGTTTGGCACTCTGCTGGCTTTCTCCCTTACTCCCTTTCTATTGAATCCAGGAGCCCAGCCTACAGTATGGTATAAGCTCCACTTATGGCAGGTCTTCCACCCTCAGTTAAACCTCAGAAACACCCCACAATATTCCCAGATGTCTCGTAGGTGATCCTAGATCCAGTTGTGGACAATGAAGATGAACCACAACCATAATCACCAAAGGCAATTTTATTTTATTTTATAAAGGGAACCATGAAACCTGTATGTCTACTGAGATATTAAACTTTGGGGATTCACCAGTATTTTTATATCTGTATATGAAATATTGATCATATTTTTTTCATTGTGTGTATTCAACAGACTTCCCCCTGTATCCCATTCCTGTTCCCTAAATTCTTCCTTCAATTTTCATGTCATCTTTTTAACTGAGGTTTCATGTATGAGAGAAAACACATGCAACTTGTCTTTCTGAGTTAGGCATATTTCACCGAACATGAGACCTTCCAGTTCCATTTTCTTCTACATAGCTAATCTATCATACATATATGTATGGACGGAAAAAAAAAAACAACAACACTAAAAGCTCAGTAGTTTGTGACATCAAATTATGTTGTTGAGTTATAACAACAAAATCAGTGACACAGAAAACAGACATGTATAGCCACATAGAATAGAAGATCCATAACAAACAGCTATGGCCTTTTTGGGTTTTCAATTAAGGTTCTGAAAGCATAAGAGTGGAGAACAAGAGGATTATTTTTGGTTTTTGTTTGTTTGTTTTTTTAAACAAGTGGTAGAAGATTGAAACTATATCCCCTACCTTATGTCCTAATTTAAAAAAAATTTTTTTTTTTTGGCTTAATCTAAGTGTAGTGGCACATTCCTGTAATTCCAGCCCTTAGGAAGTAGAGGCAGACAAATCAAGAGTTCAAGGTCATTTTCTGTTCTATAGTGAGTTCAAGGGCCAGCCTGGGCCACATGTGACCCTGACTCAAAAACAAAACAAAAAACCTTAACTAACAAATGGTCCAAAGAGCTTTATATAAGACTCACAGTTGTGATAGTTCTACATGTAAACATAGGAAGAGAGATTCGTTACGATATAAATATGGGCAATGACTATCAGATTAGGACTGAAGTTGTTCAGGAAAACATAGGAATTCACAAGTGGTATTGTATCTTAACTTAAGGGCTTCTGTGCAACAACAACAACAAAAAACAAATAACAGCAACAACAAAACATCAAAGGCTCACCCACAGAATGAGGGAAACCCTTTCCATGTGTTCATCAGGATTAATTACCAAAATACATAACAAACTTTAAAATGTTTTATTTATTATTTTTATATTAATTACAGTTTATTAACTTTGTATCCCAGCCGTATCCCCCTCCCTCATTCCCTCCCAATCCCACCCTCCTTCCTTCATCTCCTCCCTGCCCCTTTCCAAGTTCACTGATAGGGGGGGACCTCCTCCCTTTCATCTGACCCTGGTTTATCAGGTATCTTCAGGACAAACTTTAAAAATTAAATGCCAAAAAAAAAAAAGTAATGCAGTTCATAGATGCATTACTATGATGGGTAAATGAATAATATAGTTTTCTCAAAGAAGTAGTTCAAGTGGCCAATGGATAAATTAAAAAGTTGTATCTTTAGCCATCAGGAAAGGGCAAATCACTTTGACATTGAGACCATTCCAACATGGTTAGAATGGCTACATTAAGGGAACAATAAACATGCCAGACAGGCTGGGCAAGGACATTTAGATACTGTTGGTGGGGACGTAAGTTAGTTCAGCAGCCCAGGAGGCTTCTCAAAAACCTAAAAGTAGAAGTCGCACTCTATCCAGCAGAACCTCTTTGGATGTACATCCTAAAGAGTCAAGGGCAGCATGCAACAGTGGTAACTTGCACGGCTGTATTAATCAAAGCAATATTCACAACAGCCAGATCATGGAACCATCTTGTACACATCAGCCATAAACAGTTGTGAAAATGGAACATGCATATGTATGTGTGTGTGTACATATATATATATATGCATGTAGGTATGTATGTATGTATGAAAGGCAGAAAGATTGTAAGAAGCAGGGGACCAGGAACTTTGCTGTGAAATTATATTTCCCATTAGCATCAGAAGCTACATCCATAAAGTCTCACTAACACAACCATCCAAACATGAGCTAAGCAAGAATGATACCAATGAACATGGTAAACTAGATGGGGCCACATGGCCCCAACCCTACACAAAAAACTACAGGCAACTGAGTAAAGCTAGGAGTAGGAGAGGTGTGGGTTTTCCCCAGGCAAGAGTATACCAACTGGTAATTCAGTGCCAATGGTGAGCCCTGAAAACATAGATTGAAGTAACATTATATGGATGCAAAAGGTTATATTCAGGAATATTATGTATATACAAATACATATATGCATGAAATTAACAACTGATTAAAAAAAAAAAAAGAGGCCAGGAATTTGAAAGGGAGCAAGAGTTATAGTGGATGGTTTGTAAAGAAAAAAGAGAAGGGATGTAATTAAAATACAATGTAATTAAACGTGTGTAATTAAAATACAGTCTCAAAAATAACAACAACAACAAAGTCTTTGATTAGTGCCATTCCCTGGCGCTGGGTGGGGGTGGCTGTTGTGAATGGGATCCTTTTCCTAATTCTGTCTGATTTGTCATTTGTATATAGAAAAAAAGGGGGGAGTTAATTTTATACGTTCTAAAAGTGTTTATCAAAAAAAAATTCTAGTAAATCATTAATCTTGGAGGTATGGGATCACACCAGCAAATCTAAAATTGTTTGATTTCTTATATCTGCCTACCTTTTGTCTCTTTTTCTTGCTTTACTGCTCTGCTTAAGATTTCAAGTATCATACAGGAGAATGGTGACAGAACTCGCCTTGGTACTGATTCTGGAGAAAGTGTTCAGCTCCCCATTATATGGCATCATGACTCCTTTATTCCCATTCTCTTCAGAGTATTCCATGCTCTTCAGAGCATGAAGAGATGTTGAATGCCCACCAAAGGCATCTACTGAAATGATTATGTAGGGTTTCAACCTTTACATATTTATACATTCTATCTAACTCATTAATTACATTTATTGTGTTGCTGAGTTCAGTTTGCAGGTATTTTATTAAAGATTTTTGCATTTATGTTGATTAGGGAAATTGGTCTGCAGTTTTCTTTTTTGTTGTTGTTGTGGCTTTAACCAGTTTGGATAACAAAATAGTTGTGGCTTAATGAATGGGTTTGGAAGGTTCACTTCCTCTGTATTTTATGGAATTCTTGAAAGAACATGTGTCCCTTACTTCATAGTCTCGTAGAAACCAACAGTGACTCAAGCTGGACTCAGGTTTTTCTTTGTTGGTAGAGTTCTTGCACAGTTTAATCTATTTGCTTGTTACTGTGTTTAGGTTTTTTTTTTTTCCTTCCTATACTCTTGGTTTAATTTTGGTAGGTCCTATGTATCTATAAACTTCTAGATTTTCTCATTTATTAAAATATAAGTTTTTAAAATGCCCACTACAGATCCTCTGAGTTTCAGTGGTATCTTAGTCACTCTTTTCATCTCTAATTGTATTGTGTCTTCATCTTTTGGTTAGTATGGCTATAGGTCTGATAATCTATTCTCTTCTTTCAAAGGAATCTGTTATGCTGATTCTTTGTATTGTTCTTTTCATTTCCACTTCATTAACCACATCTCTCATTTCAGTCTTCCCTCATAGGTTATTATCTGAACCATTGCTGACTGCTTAAAGTCTTTATATTAATAAGCATCCTTCTCTGGATACTTTCACTATATTTCATGGGTTCTATTATGTTGTTTTCATTTTATTTGATTCTAAGAAGTTTGTTTGTCCAGTCTATTCAATGGCCAAATGATCATTCAAATGCTTTATTTAATTTTCATATTCATATATTTTAAAAATTTCTATTGTTGATTTCTGATTTTATTTAATTATTGATATAATAAAATATAAGATGTTTTAATTTTCCTCTATTTATTCACACTTGTTTTGTGTCCTAAAATATGACCTATTTTGGAGAAAGTTCCATAAATTCTGAGAATGTACATTCTGAAGCTGTAGATGTAGTTTAAGCTCACTTAATTCACAATGTTGTACTGAGTAAGTCTGGTGTTTCTTTGATGATTTGGGTTTTGGTCTGGGGACCCAGTTAAGGTTGGGTAGTGAAGTCATTATATATTATTGTATTGGGGTTTACCTGAACATTTATGTTCAGTAGTGTTTATTTTAGAAACTTGGTATATCAATGTTCAGTGTACACGTTTACAACATTTCGGTCATTTTGATAGATCGTTCCCTTCATGAAGTGACCTTCATTGTCTTTTTTAACAATGAACAGGAGTCTGCCTTACCAGAAAACCCAGTATACCTGTCTACTTTCAGACTCCATTGGCTTGTAATCTTATTTTTCCACTCTATCCCTTTCATGCTGGGCTTATCTTTGCCAACAAGGTAAGTTTCTTAGAGGCAGAGAACAACTGAGTCTTGTAAATCCAAATTCTATGTTATGCTTGTGTTTACCTCCTTTGTTCAGGTTTAATGACGGTAACTTCTTTTAATTAATGTTGATTATGATAGGCCCTTATTCCTCCTTCAGTTCTAAGGGACAGCTTTGCTGGATATAGTAATGTTGGAAGTTATTTTCTTTTGGGGCCTGAGGTAGATCATTTTATTCCATGTGCTCCTGCTTTTGTGTTTCTAAGAGAAATCTGCTGTTATTGGTGGGTTTGCCTTTCACATTTCTCTTATTTGGGGAAGAGAAGGGTGCCTTTATAAGAA